TCGCAGATTTGGGCTAGGGATGCCCCCATTTTGAACAACCAGCAGGGGCGAGCTGAGTGACGAGGTGCCAACATGGATTCTGCCGAGGGGGGGTCCTTTGCAACCAAAGCGGATCGACATAAAATGACCTCTACGGCTTCCTGACAATTCTTTGCATTGTGTGTCGCGCAAAGATTGGTAGGGATTCCCATGTTGTCGCTTTTTTGTGGGACCTCCCCCAAATTCGTGGGTGTCCCGCCCAAAGCGGTCCCTTTGAGCACCACCAAACAGGCCACGCGTTGGGCAGATGCTTAGCCAAGGTCCTGATCTGCCACCACCCTCTTGTCAGCAATGCGGGGGTGACTACCCTAATTATGGCAAGTAAGCAAAAGCACACTCAGCTACAAAAGAACGGTAAATGCTTGGTAGACCTAGTAAACTAGCGGGTTTCCTTGTTCCCCTACTTTAACTATTTAAGGGAATCCACCGCACCTCGGCGCCAAAGATACAGGGTGCACTATGTGTACATGAATAGGCCAATACATTGCAGTACGTTGCACCCAATACGTTGCACCCAGCACGTTGCACCCAATACGTTGCACCCAATACATTGCACCCAATTGCGCATGTGGAAGCTGACAGGGTTTGGGAAGACCTTCTACGTAGATAGATAGATAGATAGATAGATAGATAGATAGATCGATTAGTTAGATCGATAGATCGATAGATGGATAGATAGAACATAGATGAATAGTCGTGATACATATGTATATCTATATATATATATGGATTTACACATATGCAACTTTATTTATAGATGCATATGTACATATACACATATACACACATGTATATATATATATACACAGGTATACATATATATATATATGTATATATGTGTGTATATATGTATATGTATATATGTGCACACTGGCTGTCGCCCTTTCGGTGCATGGGATCCTTCAGGACGGCCCTCAGCAGAGCGCCCGGGCCTCGGATTTTCTGGGAGTCGGAAGCGGGAGATCGGGTGCCCATCCACAGGTAACTCTGAGCTGGTGGTGTGGGATTTGAACCGGCTTTTGGTAGGGTTACTAGGTCCCCCAGCTAGGTGCCCTTTTTAACCCCGTTTTTGGTTGGGAGAGTTTAGTCTGTCTTAAAAAGACTACAGAAGTTGGTACCCTTATTCTAACCTCTCTACTGGAAGACCTAGAAGTGGTGCGTCCATTTGCTGAGGAGTCTTTAGTTTCCCTTGTTGGTTTTGGAGGGAATCTATCACCACTGGAAATATGGTTATTCTCTCCAGGTGGCTTAAGGGTGGTGGGGTTGGACACAAACATTTTGCACCCTGCAATGGACAGTGAGCTTCCTTTTGGTGATCAGTTGGACGTGGGCAAGTCTCCGGTTGAAATCCCATGAGCAAAAAGGAAAAACACTTGGCAACCGCATTGGGGAGCTAGGTCCCCCAAGTAGTGCCCGTTCTCACCCCTTTTTTGGTTAGGAGGGTTCCCCTACAATAGGCAACAGAAAAAAGTTGGTACCCTTATTTGTAACCTCCCTACTGGAGGACCTAGAAGTGGCGCTGCCATTTGCTTAATTAAAGAACTGGGTGTTTCTCTCACTCCCTGACTTCCATTTGGCCAAGAATATGTTTTAGTTTCCCTTGTTGGTTTTTCAAAGGGAACCTATCACCACTGGAAACATGATTATTCTTTCCAGGTGGCTTAAGCAAATGGGGGGGTTATTACTCAAGTGAGTCTGAGAGGGGTTACTCAAGTGGGGGGGGGCTTTATGCTCTGAAGTGGGGGTTGGGGGGGCAGGTTCGAATTTTTGGACTTGTCACTTCTTGGCTCCAGAACGAACAGGGCATTCGGTAGAACTCAAAAGTGATTCGGATTCCCAGCTGAAAGGAACTGGACGCCGTCTCTCAAATTCAACCATGGGTTCTGCTTGCTCCGTTTTTTTTCTCGCTTCCTAAGGTTTGGACTTTGGTAACTTTTTGGGTTTGGATGCAACTCAGTTGTTCAGTGGCTCTTTTTTTCATTTTTTTGGTGGCTGCCCCACTAAAATGGTCTTCCCAAAAAAGGGTTCCCTTTTTTTCAGGGTCACTGAACAACTGAGGCAATTTTAATGGCAAACCAAAAGTTCCTGGACCAGTTCTGGCCAATGCTTAGGCAACCTATACCAATGCTTGGATGTTCGATTTGCCAAGTTAGTAAGTGATTAGCTTCCTGGGTTGCAACTCACTACTAGCAGGCTTAACTCCAACGAAATGGGGCGGTCACCAACCGCCAAGCACCCAGTAGTACGAGTGGACTGGGGCCATGAATTTCGCTGTATTTGGGGGGTTCTCAAAGAAAATCGGGCTGTTCTCCTTTCACATGCGGTTTCTTTAGTATCCTCGCACTATAATAAGTAGCTCTTAGCACCTTTACATATTCGGCCAGAAGGGGGTTCAAACACCAAGAAGCACACTTGAGGGCTACCCGATTCCATGTTTAGAGAGGACTTGGATCACATATAGCACCCGCAAGTCCAATGCATCCAATCCCGGGGTCCACATCGAGCTCAGTTGTCAGCCTTGGTTCAGCACCAACATGAACCGTTACGTGGGCAGGGTGGTGAAAAATGTTGACCTAGAATGCGACACGGGTCAAAATGAAGCCAGGCAGGCAGGGGTGTCCCGATTTTTGACAACAGCCAATGTATTGGAATGGGTGTTTTTTTTTGCTTAGCCCTGTCTTTTGCTTAGCCCTGTCCGACCCGGTTGGTTGGTTGGTTGGTCGGTTGGTTGGTTGGTTGGTTGGTTGGCTGGCTGGCTGGTTGGTTGGTTGGTTGGTTGGTTCTCGGCATTTCGGCCTTCGGAACCGATTTCCGGATGGGGCATTAGTCACTCCATTGCCTGGCCCCCCGAAAGAGCAGCACACAAAGCCCACTCTGTTTTGGACTTCGGGACCGACTTCTGGAGAATAAAAGGCACGAGAAATTAAAGCCACCAAAGTTATCATCATTTGACATGCTGGGCCGCCAGTTCCGTGCGGGGGGTGTCTCTCTTTTGCTGTATGTTTGGCATTCACAAGTCCGCTCTTAGCCATGCACTCCCGCTGGTACTGGGCTGGTACTGGCAGAAGCCTGGTGCCTTGACACTGTTCCGCTACAGCAGTAGTACAACGCGACAGCCAAGGGCGTCCAGTACCAGCGGGTGCACATGGAAACTCAATACTGGACGCCCTTGGCTGTCGCGTTGTACTACTGCTGTAGCGGAACAGTGTCTAGGCACCAGGCTTCAGCCAGTACCAGCCCAGTACCAGCGGGAGTGCATGGCTAAGAGTGGACTTGTGAATGAATGCCAAACATACAGCAAAAGAGAGACACCCCCCGCGCGGAACTGGCGGCCCAGCATGTCAAATGATGATTATTTTGGTGGCTTTAATTTCTCGTGCCTTTTATTCTCCAGAAGTCGGTCCCGAAGTCCAAAACAGAGTGGGCTTTGTGTGCTGCTCTTTCGGGGGGCCAGGCAATGGAGTGACTAATGCCCCATCCGGAAATCGGTTCCGAAGGCCGAAATGCCGAGAACTGTTGCACTCTTACTGTCCAGAGCGTGTCCCAACCAAGTAGCTCCGGGTAATGAAACTGAGCCCCAGAACGCAGACAGGGTTAAGCAAAAGACAGGGTGAGGCAAAGAACAAACACCGTACCCCCAATGTATTGGGACGACTCACCATTCTAGGTTTATGACTCCTGAATTTGGGACCTGGCGGGTGGAGGCTGTTAGGAAACCACACCCACCAATCCCCGATTGCGTGGCTCGTCTTTTGAGGCGTGGCAGGTTTGAGAGGGAGGCTATGACGGCTATGAGCACAGAAGTGAGAGGGGGGGCATACGGACGACTAATCTTAAAAAACTAGGACTAGATTTTATGTTTATTTATTTATTTATTTTTCAAGAAAACACCTTCTAGTTTTTGTCGTTGATTTGATACGTTTGTACTTACCATGCATTTACCAGACCCTGCTTGCGGAAGGTGCCTTTTGAAGGGCTCATAGTCCGTCAGGGGTGCACCCCGGATTTTGTAGAACCCATCCTACGACCTAAAAGTGATCCGGATTCCCAGTAAAAGAAACTGGACACCCCCATCTCTCAACATCAGTCAGGGCCCCAGGGCTCTTGCTTTCTTTGGGGTTAGTCATGGTCGTTGTTGGGAAACATTTTCCATTTTTTCTTATTGTGGCTTGGTGGGAAAGCCCCACTTAACTGCTAAAATATATGTTTGCTCCCCTTCCAACGTCAACCAAGTATTGCTGGGCCCTTTGGTAGGTCAACCCTTTGAATCCATTCGCCTTTCACGTTTCAGGTCGAGCGGGGTCTGCCGACCGCCTGGAGCCCAGTTGGTGTGGGCAATTGGCTGGGAGATTCTGAAGGAAAGGCGAAAAGGAGGCCCTTCAAACGTGTAAACATAAGGCCGGATCTATTTAGGCATGCATTTTTTTAAAATCAGTTTCACCTCCAGCAACTCAGAAAGTGAGGCTTACAGCAGTTGGCTCTGAATTGGTGGCTTGGCTTGGTGGTTTTGTCGTTTGCGCCCCTGGTTATTTTCTTGGCCTGATGCGGCCTAAGCTCCAAATCGCTTAAGAAAGGGCGAGCTGATAACAACTGACTTGCTGAGCGTACTGACCGGAATGCATATTCAAACTTGTTTTGGCCTTGACTCCACAGAACAAACTTGCCAGAAAACAACAACCAGCACCAAATTTCCAGAAGTTATTGTTCCGACAAAGGTACCTGGACGAAACGGTGTCCCCTCAATTTTCCTTTCCAACTCTGGAAGAACATGTTGGTGTATCTTTTTTGAAGGATCTCTACTTCGGGTTTAGTTTAAGGAGAAAAGGAACCCTACCATTTTTTGGGGGTCTAATCTAAACAATTGCCACCCACCTTAAAGTGGTAGACCGAAAGGCGTGGTTACTTTTGCTTGGCCCCGCTCGATCGGAAGTGAGAAGCTCCTGACATTATCCCGAGGTCGCATGGGGTCAGCCGAGCGCAGCAGCCTCGGGCTGCGGCCGGTGCTGTTTGGGGTTGGGCACGTTTTACCGAGTTGGTACCGCTGCTCTGTTGCCCAGTGGCGCCTTGTTTTTTTCCTTTTTCAACTTTTTTGGGGAAGGGTTTCCCCTAATCCCCTAAAACAACGCAACCAACAAAGGCCACTGAACGTCTGAGTGTTATTTCACCGGGTGCAAATATCAACCTGATAGGTTTTCAGGCACTGGCAAGCTCCGGGCGCGTTGTGACCTTAGCCCAAGAACCTTGTCGAATCTTGGCGGTTCAACCCGCGAATCTTCCGGTTCCTTTGATGTTTAGTTGTTTTTAGTTGGTTTTAGTGGTTGGGCTTTCCATGTAACCCCACTACAACTTCAAGCAAGAGTTGGTCCCCCTGGCCCGGGCCCAGGGGCCCACCAACAAATGTGGAAATGGAAATGGACAAGGGGCCCTTGTGGATTGTAGTCTTCCAGCCCGTGCTGTCCACTTCCACGATTGTTGGAAGGATTCGGCTTGGCCAATTCACTCAGGAAATGAGCATTTACTTGCTGGTTCCCAGCCGTCCCCGTAGGTTTTTTGATGTTTAGTTAGTTTAGTGCTCGGGTGTCCGAATTGAACCCACAAGGTATTCTCACCTTTAGCAGGGGATCAGAAAGCGCGACACTCATGTTACCCTTCAGTTGGTGGTTTGATCTGGTGGTTTCGGGATTTTAACCTGTGCTCCTTGAGGCTGGGAATTCACCCCCCGAACCACCAAAGTCACCGAAGAGGGAAGCCGAGACAGCCCAGTCAAATTTGTAGCGCCGCAGGTCGTGTGGGATCTGCAGATCGCATGTGCCCCAGATGGCGCGCGAAGTCGCGCAGGGCGGGGGGGCGGGGGGGGGCGGGGGGGCGGGGTATTGGGGGGGGGACTTGTCAAAGCACCCAGCCAGTAGTGCCCTGTTACCCTTTTTTGGGGGAGGCTTCCCCTATTAAAATAGACTACAGAAAAATGGTGCCCGTATTCTAACCACTGGAGCACCCAGAACCCGTGGCAGGGCCCTGAAACTCACCAAGGCCCAAAGCAACTCGACTGTGTTTCTGACCTTCTGGTCAAGCCCCCTGTTCGGGGTTTCATTTTCAGCGACCCAAAAAGAAGAAGCAAGAAGAGGTGGAGTCTGAAGGTATGCCTTTTGACACCCTCTTTGGTTTCCTTTTAAAGGGAAGTCGAACGGAGGATGTTTCGACAAAAGTGGTCCCATCCCAACATCAAGGGAGGGTTGCTTCAAAACAAAGTAGCTTAAGGAGCTGGACGCTACAGCCTGGAAACAGTACGCTTGAACTTCCCGTTTGCTGCTGTTGTGTTCTTGTTTTAAGCATCCCTGTTGGTTTGAAACGGAACACCGGATATATATATATATATATATCATGCATTTAGTTGTTATCTCACTGTATACTGGAAATACATACATATATACCAAACATGTTTATTGGTTATCCAGGGGACTTAAGCAAATGCAAGCCGAAGGTCAGCCAAAAGGAGGTGGACACCATGATACGCAATGGACAGGGCACCTGAAGGTTGAGGGGTTGCTGGACCCGGATCCCCTACCCCGCACCAGGGGGAATACGGGAAAAATGAGGGTGCATTTGTCTTTGGGAGTTGGTGCCCCCGTGTTTGGTGGTTTTTTAAAGGGACACCAGAAGGAGCGCCACCATTTTAGTGGGGTTTCCCAGAAAAAGACACCCCCATCTTTGGAAGTGGGAGGTGTTCCAAGCAACGTGACCATCCCCCAAAGGTTGGGACAGACCACGCGGCTTTCAACTGGTCAAACCGTGGGAGTGAAGCACTTACACGTTCGCCCGCTCTTTTGCGCATATGTCTCTGCGGTCAAGGGGAATACCTACCTTCGGTACCTTCGTTTCCGGGGGTGCGCGCCTCAAATACGCACACTTGCTTGCAAATCATGTTATAGCATGATATGCATATAAATCATATACACACCTAAAACATGTGTTGTGCCTTTCGGCTGAACATTTTCATTTCACAGGGAGTATTTGGCAGGGGTAGGCTCCACAAGCCCAAGCATTATCCTTGCAGAGGCAGAGAGGTATGTGGCAAGTCACATTTCATACGTTTCAATTCTCATGGGGGCTGGGGGGGAGGGAGGGGGAGGGAGTTTCAAAAGAGCCCTTATTGAGGCCCTATTTAGGGCTTATTTGGGCTCCCTCCCCCTCCCCTCCCTCCCCCCCCAGTCCCCATAAAATTATTTCCGCGTCTTACACCTTCAATGTTTTGTGTGTGTGTTTTTGTTGGGCCAGGGGCTCAGGCAACGTAAGCGGCCGACATTCTGTCCCTTGGACGGGATCAGTGTGAGCCGCACATCGCCCGATACATACGTCGTGCGCAGGGTCATGGATTCTACTTGGGCAACACATCTAGGAAGGTTGACGTCATGCAACTTACAACTTGCAAGACAACTTCCAGCACGTTGAGCCCGCCATTTGGCTCTTTTTCCGGAAACTGGCTCCAGGAAGGCCCCCCTTTGAGTGAGCTACTTACTTGGGGGAGCAAAGGGGTGGGATGACATTAAAAGCGACATCCACCCATGATGTGTGTGTTCTCTCCAGTGGCTCAAAACCATGGGTGGCCCAATTCTGGCTTGCAAGCTCATCTGCCGCGCCATCGCAAATCCGATTCTCAAGCTTTCCGGCACCTCTCTGCAAAGCACAGAAGGGCCGAGGTGGATGGCTTGAACATGTGGCTTGCCTATGAGTCAAGAGCCGAAGAATGAGTAGAATGGGGCTCGTTGTGTGAGAACCATATTTTTTCAGTCATGGGTATTGGGGTGGACATTATTTAGCCTCCTATGTTAGAAAAGCATGCTCAATTAGTCCTATGTGACTGCTTGGAGGCTCCAAGTGCTACGAAGCTTTGCCGACCCAACAGCCAACGAGGTGCTCAGATCCCTCGCCCCGAGTGGACATCATACCTCGCTAACATGGAATCCTGGCAGAAGGGCACTTTTCCCGGGGACGCGTTGTTTTTTCTTCTTTTCGTAAGGGACAAGTTTGCGGAACAGATTGCATTGTTCTTTCTGTTTGGCTTCTGATGGTATTTTAGAGAGACACTTCTATGTTGTTCTTCTTTCTGGTTTCTGAGGACCTGACATAGGACCGCACCAACCTACCAGACAACCCGTCAGCCAGGGGACCGAAACAAAGAGCCCAGCTCCGATGTTCGGCGTGATGGGCCGCGACCGTGCTTGGAGCAGGCACCAGGCGATGCATGTGCGTGAGTGAGTGCGTGGGTGAGTGAGAGGGTGGGTGGGTGGGTGGGTAGGTGGGTGGGTGGGTGGGTGGGTGGGTGGGTGGGTGGGTGGGTGGGTGGGTGGGTGGGTGGGTGGGTGGGTGGGTGGGTGGGTGGGAGGGTGTGTGTGTGTGTGTGTGTGCTTTTGTGTGTCTCTGTATTTGTGTTTGCCTGTTTGTGTGTATGTGTGTTTGTGTTTGTGTGTGTGTTTTTGTATGCTGTATGTGCGTGTGTGCTCTTTTCAAGTCAGAACTCGAATTACAGGGAAACCACAAGGAAAGCCACCGATTAACGCTGATCCCAAACAGCAATCTCATTCTTCCGAGGAATCTTCTCGGGGATGGGGCGTCGCCGTGTACCATCCCCATTTTCGGGACAGATTCCGCGAACAACCCGCCCAAAAAATGCTTTGCTGAGGTTCAAATCCCCATGCAATGCTCAAAGGTTCTACCACTAGATTCCTGGAACAATTGACATGTGTTTCCTTTTGGGGTCAAGGAAAATCTACCAGAAATGGGGGACCCCAAAGCTGTTTTCCTGCAGAATGCTCTTTGGTGTAGGTTGCTTGGATGCTAGGACTTTAACTTTTTGCCAACTACTGGCATTTCCGTATTAAACCTCTAAAAGCTAAAAACTTTTCGCCGGGGAGCAGATTTCGCAACCGAGGTCCTATAACCCAAGGCTTTGAGGCTTGGGTCTGAGCGGGGGAAGTCCTTCGTTTCGTGCGCGAGGCTGTGCCATGGCGGAGCCAGGCTTTCAGAAGGTGGGTGAAACGTCTACCCAGTGGATGGGACTCTCGGTGCCTGAGTTCATGAATCTTACCCTCCCTTCCACTAACATGGCACCTGTTGGGTACCTGGAAGATCATGTTCCTCTTGTAGGGACCCCCAGTCAGGTGCCATGATAGTGGGAGGGAGGGTATATAGCCGGACTTGTTGTGGTATCCACTGCACGGCGTGAGCAGTACCGGTGGCACCTGGAAAAAATTGCACCGCCCCAACTTGAATGGCAGGACCAGGTCTTATACCGCCCGACTAGCACTGCGCTACTCCATACCATCGCCTGCTCATGAATCTTGTAAACACTTTCTGGGTTTGGACCATTTTGGTGGTAAACAAAAAGTTCGGACTTTCTTTTGGCCATCGGGAAGTGAGACAGTAGGCGATGTTCCTTTGGTGCTGGAAAGGTGTTTCCCTTGGTTACCCACAAGCCTAGAGAAAATTGCAAAATGGCACCCAGGCCACGTTCTGCCCCTGAACTCGTTCCATTTCGGGCTCGGGTCACTTTTGGGGTTTGGTCTCCACTTTCGTTTGCCTCCAAACCAAGCAAATCTTTGGGTTCCCTCAAAACTTTTCAGGACCATTTGAGTGGGAAACAACCAGTTCGTTTACTGTGCTTGGCTAATCGGAAGTGAGACCCAAAAACACACACCCAAGCACGCCAGAGCCCATCTGAGTGGCACAGTTTGGGCCAGTCCACGAGTCCGGAAGGAGTTCGGGTGGCTGATTCTCACTTAACCTTTTCACCTTGCCGCCCAGCTTTCATCCAGTGAAGCTGAAAGACAGTCCCCCAATTTCCCTTTGACCTCCAGAAGTGGAAATAGTTCCTTTCAATGGACCCCAGCAACCTTGATCAACTTGAAGGGGAAATCCAGTGATCCCCGTGCGACTCAAGCCGGCGAGCCGGCCAAACCACATGTTCTCACCCAGCCGGTCGAGTCGACACATTTTACACTTTTTTCCTCGGTGGCTCTCCCTTTATTTGGGTGTGGCTCAAGAATTAAAGGAGGGGCAAAGCGCAGGTTTTGGTTCATGCTTCCACTTACCAGGGTAACCCATTTTGGAATTCCGGTTTTCTGAGCCACAGCCATAGTGGTGGCCCAAAAAGTGTACATGTTTTTTAGGCTGGTCACTGGCGTGAGTTTTCCTTCGGGAGGCCTCTGTGGAGAAGTGCGCAGTGCGGCTCCACAACTTGGCGCTTCGCCACTTGGATTGCTTGGATGGCGCGCGAGACCGGCGGAAGGTGGCATAGGTGCTTACGTATGACCCACTCCCTGAGTTCCGTTTCGGACTTCACTTGCTTTTTGTTGGACCGTTTTAGTGGCAAACAGAAAGTTTGGATGTTAGTTACTGTTGTTGGACCACTTTAAACAGAAAGTTTGGATGTTTTTGTTGGGCCGTCCTCTGAGGAGCTGAGGTAAGGATTCCAGGATTACCGGTGTTAGTAGAATTATGTGGGCTGAATGTTTGCCGCGACATAGTTGTCTGCCTCCCCCACAAACACCAGGGGCGAAACCTGGTTTTCCAATGTCCTTTAGGGTAACCATATTGTTGCCCATGGCTCACATGACTTTCACTTACTGTAGTCTCTTTATTTTTCTGGTTTCCTTCCGGGAATGCCTCAATAACCTCCTATGAATCACCCCCTGCATTCGCATTGGGAAATCGAGTGAAACACTGGCAGGGAAAATTGGCAAACAGTAAAAATAGCAATGACAACACAGAAAGCATCAATGAATCGCACAATTATTGGCGCAAGAGGGACGCACACATGTCCTGTGTCAGTTTCTGCGTTGTGTTGTCGAATTATAATTCTTAATTTAGTCTCAGACTTGTAAGTCAGTAAGGTCCAAACATGTTGTTTGTCAGATTGCCCTCTTGATTTCTCAACGGTTATCGCAGTAAATGAGTAACACCCAAACATGTCATTTGTCAGATTGTTTTGCATTGTCCGATTTCTCGATGGTTTTTTGGGTTTGTATCTCAGAAGGTCGGAAGCCAAAGGTAAGGAGGCAAACGTGGTCGGGCCCAAAAACCCAGCGCTCAGGACTCCCCTTTGTTTTGTAGTTGTGGGTTGGCAGCCATGCAGTCCAGGGCAATATGAACAAGGGCGTGTGCGCCCTCTATCACAGATTGTTTTCTGCAGGCATAGTCAAGTAGTTTGGGGCTACAAATTGAACATACAAGCCTTTGGATCAGGATGAAAACCCCATGGTTTGGTGGTTTGGTGGTTTGGATTTCTCCAACCACCACTTCAAATCGCAAATTCGCGCTAAGGCAAGGTGATATTGGGCTTGCTGACTGCCAATTGTTCCCTCTCTTGGCCTTGGGGTAGCCTTCAGTCGACGCCCTTCTCACTCCCTGAGTTCCTGGACTTGTTTTTGTTTGTTGTTGTTTTTGCCGACCATTCTAAGGTAAATCAAGGTTCGGGCTTGTTTGGCCAGTGCCCTCGATCGGAAGTCAGTCGCGGCTTTTGGTTTCGGTCTCATTTCCCTTGGCGAACGAAGCTGAGGCAAGCGCCTGGAGCGTGCGGAGACGCGGTCCGAGCAATTGGAGCTGCGGGTGGAGGAGCTTGAGGCTCTCCCGGTTGCTTTTAGTTGGCCTTTCAAGGCCTAAGCCAACGGAAATGATTGCCCCCTCACTTTCCTAACCTGTCCCAAACCTAATCCCCAATGATTAGCGGATTACGGATTGTGATCAGGTGATCGGAAATTTCGAGCAGGCTAGCTTTCCCCTGTTGGTTTCACTGGTTTTCTGTTCGTGCAGGGGGCTGAAGCAAATGGATGTAAATGGCACATGTGTTTAAGAAAGCCCGAAGTGAAGCCAGGGGATGAGTACTTGTCTCTACTATTTTCAGACCAATTTAGCATGTAAACCTTTTGCTCACTCCAAGGCGGCTTGTTTCTTGGGGTTCCCGAGTTGCGTCAGGTTTCCTGTGGGCTCCAGGCAAAAGGGCTCACACCTTTCTGTGAGCCAAGGAACCATACTGTGGGTGGACGAAATCCGTTCGCACCACTTTGAACACATGGAAGCCCACCGTTGTTTGTATTTACAGGGGAATCATCATTCCAGGTTTCTTAGGTGGTGCAGGAACCCACAGCAGGTGTCCTTTTTAAGTTCGCTGGTTGGACTATAGATGACTTCCACTGGTTTTATACCCCATTTAACAGGGAACCCAAACTATTTTACCAAAAGGACGGCTATGCCAAGCAAACTCCCTCGTTGATGTTGGAACGTGTCCCCTTGAGGGGATCCGGATTGCTGGAAAACGTGTCTGACAAACCATTTACAGACGTTGGAAGGACGGGGACCTTGTGCATTGATTCACAGATTCGTTTTTGTTGGTTTCTTCACCTTGGTATTTCCCAAGAAGCTACGCTTCCTTTTCAGCAGTTAACTTATGACACCTGCCAGAGGTTGCTCTCTTTCTCGCTTTCTCTGCTCTTTCTCTGCTCTTTCTCTGCTCTTTCTCTCTCTCTGTCTCGCTCTTTTTGCTTTTGTCGGCAAGGGGTTATTCAGGTATCCCTTAGCTAGTGGTTTGCCATTGGTGCCCGGACCCAGTTCTGGGGGGACGGACCCCGGACAAACAGCCCTGGCCAAAAATCAACCGGAACAAAAAGACCAGGCTCAGTTTGGGAGTCTTACTTTGGAGACAAAACCCTCCAATGCTTACCAACCTGATTTTGTTTTTTGGTCACTTGATTTAAAGGCAATCCCAGAACCACATTCTTAGTTCTCGCTTGTTCAAATCCGACCTAACATGACCTATTGTGTGTTCGCTCGTTCAGGTTCCACAAGGTGATCGATCATATGTTGAGGCTACACTGGGCAAGCGATAATTTTACCAGCCTATAATTCATCATTGATTTATAAGTGTTGCCCCAGAACCCCTTTCGTTTTTTGTTCGGCTCTGACATGGGCGTCTTGTTTGGGAGTACCTTGTCTTCAGGTCTTAAAGGAATTTCAACAGCCAACCTGCAATTTTGGGCGCGCCCCCTTCAGCGACACACCCATATTCTTAGATTGGTTGGGATTCGTGGTTTGGATTCGAATGCCTGGTTCTAGAGGGTGGATGGGCAACCACTAAAACAAACAAACCACCAGTTGAAAGAAGCTGCTATTCACAAGGAGACTTGTACCAAGATCTTCGCATGGGTTTTCCATGGTTGTTGTTGGGAAACATTTTACGTTGTTGCTTATTGTGGTTTAGTGGGCAATTCCACACTTAACTGCCAAAATCTGACATTTGCTCCCCTTCCAACGTCAACCAAGATGCCCATTGTTTCCAGGGATACTTTTTTTCTAGAAAACTTCTGGACATCCAGGGAAAACGGCCGGTGATTGAGAAGAACGATGGTTGAAAGAGTGGAAAAGGAATCAACTCAGTTGTTCAGTGGCACCAATTATTTGTCTTTTGTTTGGTTGCTGCCAAGATGGTCCAAGCCCAAAAAAGGGTTCCCTTTTTTTCCAGGGTCACTGAACAACTGAGTCAACCAAGTAGAATTGGGGCTGGACATGGTTCTCCCCAGCCGCTTCGGCAATGCCGACAGACGGCTCAGCCAGCGAGCCCGGAGCCGCGCGGAGCCAAGCCCTTTGAGAGCGTCGACTCGCAAATTGTTTTTCGGTCGTTTGCCAGGTCAAGGATATGGCTGTGGTGGTCAAAACAGTTTTGGATCCCATTTTTTTTGGTAGGTGTTTTTTTCAACACCCATTTTAGAACCGAATTTAGTTTTATTTGTATGTTCACTGGGGGTACGATTTGGATTTTGGCCCATGGTCATATGGTTTTAAAGGGAATCCATCACCTTAGATGCGCAAGGATACTTCTATTTGCTGAAGAATATGGTTTCCCTCTTTTTTTCATTGTGTTTTTTTCCCCTTGTTGGTTTTTAAAGGGAATCTATCACCACTCAGACTTTTTTTCAGGGGGCTTAAGCAAATGGAAGGATATGGTTTTTAAGGGAATCCATTACTCCAGAGAACGGTTTGTATGTGGCATACTCAGAGAATACCACACGATTACTAAACATGGACCAACAGGGAAAGGACTTGTGAAATCCACCAAAACGCCTCCAAACCGTTTTCCACGCCTGGAAGTAGGTCTATAGGTCTTTTTTCCATAGGACTTTTGCAACTGGAGGTCGCGTTTGGCCAGGATGCCGTGACTAATGACCCCCAGGCTGACTCGTTCTTGTAATTTCTTGCTCCTTTTGGGGTTCCCTCCAATCTTCCTAAGTTAGATGACAACCCTTAGGTAAGCCGAAGCCCCGAGCAGGTTTATGTTCTTCCATATGCTTTTAAAGCAATTTGTTTACTGTCCCTTCTTGATTTTCAAGGGAATCTGTCTACAAGTGCTGGAAAATTTAGAAAATGTATTTGCTCATTCTTTCCAGGGGGGGGGGGGGCGGGCGAAAAACAAAGAAACAAAAAGCAGTTGGAAGTTACTGGGTTGGTTTACCCAGGGACCCCGGACCACGGGTGCGCCCTGCCCCGAACCTCGGGACGCCAACCGTTTCGTTCGCATCGACTGCTTCGAGGCCGGAGCCTGAGGCGCGAGCCGGTTTTTGTGTTTTTTGTTCGAAGCGGCGGTTGGGCGGGCTGAGAAAGGGAAAGGCCACCTTTCGTTTGGCCGTGGTTGTCAAAACTAATGGATCCCATTTTAGTTGGTAGGTGAATTCACCACCCAGTTTAGAACCTATTTCAGTGGGGATTGGGATGTTCACAGGGGGTACGGGATTTTGACCCATGGCCATTTGGTTAAGACTATGGTTGATTTTCCCCTGTTGGTTTTAAAGGGAATCTATCATATTTTAAAGGCCATCTTCCATTTTGTTTTTCGGGTGATTGCGTTCCCATTGTAGAACCGATTTTAGTGGGGATTAGGATGTTCACCCATTTGGTGAAGAATATGTTTGTTTCCCCGTTGGTTTTAAGCATGGTCGTTGTTGGGAAACCTTGTTTTTTTTTGCATTTTTGCTTATTGTGGCTTAGTGGGAAATCTCCACTTAACTGCTAAAATTTAATTTGTTGCTCCCCTTCCAATGTCAACCAAGTTCCATTTATTTGGTTCTAGAGGCTATCCAAGTTCGTCTAAGAGGGAGCCTAAGGCTGAGCTACCGAACGCAGTTCTGGTTACTTCCATTTGCTGAAGAAGATTTTTTTTCATTTTCCCCTGTTGGCTTTAAAGGGCAATCTGTGTTTGCACATGGGTATGCGTCAGAATGAGACCACCAGGATATGGACCGCAGGTTTTAGTCCATAGTTCCACTTGCCAGGGTTCCTCTTTGGGTACCTATTTTTGACCCGCAGCCATGTGAGCCATAGTGGAAAGCCCGGGTAGATGAAGGTTTCTAAGGGACAATCCCAACCATAAATAGCTGCGGCCGCCTTCTTACTTCGTTACATGGTTCTGGAGTACCGGGTTTTGATTCTGGCTCATGTGAGCCATAGTGGAGAGCCCGGGCAAATTGCAGTAGGAAGGGGCAATCAATCCCCTTGCCAAATATCAACTGGACGTCCCGCATAGGCTTAACATAGGGCTGGACATTGGGGTAATGTTGGCCCCTTATTAATCAACCCCAATCAACTAAGAGGGGTCCCGCTGTTCCTGGGTGAAATGTGGGGTCAACATTAGGAAGGGGCAATCCCCTTGCCAGAAATGGGTGCGCACATCCGCCTTTTCAATTCTTGAAGCACGGTTCTGGGACTGGACCATTTTACTACCAGGTTTTGATTGTGACTCATGTGAGGTGGCTCTACTGCCTGGCTTGTTGGCCTTTTTGGAATCACCCTGCCAGATGCAAGCGGATGAGTTGTGTGTTTACTTGGGACCAAATACGGTCATAGTCATTTCTCTATTTCGGGTGTGATGCCAGGGTGTAACAGGAACATCCTCCAGCCCAGGTCCGAAAGGTAGTGAACCAAGGTCCGACAGGTAGACCTTGCACTAGGTTCTTTGGGGTGAGTAGGGTGAGAGCGGAATCCAGTCGGGGATGTGAATCTACGAATGCTGCGAAGCACTGTATTTTTGCATACCAAGCTTCCCGTTTGCTCAAAGAATATGTTTTAAGTTCACAGGTTGGAGGAAAAGCAAAAGAAAGGTGTTGTGCGGTCGTGGTGCTCCCTTTTGCATTGAGACGCAATAGGCCAATACAACGTGAGCAGGGCTTTGCCCATGGATACCTTCCTTTTGTTTTTCTCTACCAACCCCGGTCTTTGTAGATGGTGAATGGGGAAACCGCGCCTCAACCGTTTAATATTCACCAGCGATAATTGTTTTTCTCCTCGCCCATGTTTTTTTGCGTTTGGCCTCTGAATACTTACCACTGGGAAACAGAAGGCCAACTCACGCCCAGCAATCGCCTAACTTGGCCTTGGGTGACCTTAATTAATCAGCCACACCGTTGGAGAAAAGGGGGGGGGTCATGGTCGTTGTTGGAGAACAGTTTTTGCATTTTTGCTTATTGTGGCTTAGTGGGACATCCCCACTGAACTGCTAAAATTAATTTTTGTTGCTCCCCTTCCAACGTCAACCAAGGGGTGGGGGTGTTTGCACGGTTGATCCGGATTTACAATGATTCATTCACCCGCCGGATACATCCCCCGACTGGTGCGATGTGGCTTTGTCGCCTCCCTGAGTCTTTGTCAAAGCTTTTCGGGAAGCGCAGTCGAGTGGTACGTTGTAAACAACTAGTTTGGACTTGTATGGACTTGGCCCATGCAGTGAGTTGTCCATGTGCAGTTTTCATGAGCCAAGTGTGTATGATTCAACCGTGCTTGTTTTCACTCCTTGACGGCTATTGGGTTGGATCTTTAGACTTTGACTTGGGAAACCCAGGGGTTTCCCACCAAACCCCCCAAAAAGTGGTCAACAGCCACCTAGACTCGGGGCTGTGGGTTGGGCCAGCGATGGGATCTTTTCCCGACTGCCGCCGCCAAAAGCAAGGGCCGCGATGCCAAGTACCTGGTCAAGATGCAGAACCTGCTCCTCCGCAAGCGGCTGGAGAGACTTGCCGAGTGCTGGGGTAGACAATTTAGCAACGGCTCAGAGGCTCAAAGTGAAGCTTTTTTAGCCTTTTTGGTCCCCTTGTTTTTCCACTAGAATAGCTCTGTTGCCCAGTGGCGCCAATTCTTTGTTTGAATTGTTTAAAGAGGAAGGGTGTCCCCTTTAAACTCAACCAACAAAAAAAGGGTCCCAGGGCCACTGAGCGTCTGAGAAAGTATACTTCCCCGCAACTAGTTCCCCTTGTTGTGTTTGTTGTTTTTTGTGCTTTTTCCGGGGTCCCCTTTGTTTTCCACTAGCCAGGCAAAAGCATATGTGTTTGCTGGGGTCCTAATTCCAGCCAAGACTAGTGGTCGATTCAAGCCACACCTGGCCACATGATTTTTCTTGCCATCAACGTCTAGGGAAACGACCGACCATGAACGGACGTGAACACCCAGAAAGTGACCCATGTGTTTTAAATGTTGAAGGAAGAGGAGAAGCCCGCCCGCCCGCCGCGAAAGGCGACTGGCTTCGGCGGGTTACCCACCAGGACCTGGCCCCCTTCCCCCGCCGCAGGGGATGGTCAAGCCTCCAATAGGCACTTTGGACAACAAGGCTTCGTGTGTGGACCACGACCATCACCCAGGAGTTTTGATCATGACACATACTGTGGATGGTTGCGAAATCCATTTCACACCGCCATTGAGAAACCCTGGCATCTGATTCGATTCCCCTGTAAATGCCAACCAACAGTGTGGCTTCAACCATGGTTCCCAAGTGGTGCAGGATCCAACATGATCCAACCACCTATTCTCAGCTTGCCCAGCACGGACGAACCAAAAGGGGATCACCTTTTGAGCCCACGACTATGTCTTCCACCTGTCAGCTGTCCAGCCTTGGGTATGGTATACTTGTTGCAGCCCCACCACTAAAAATGAACGGAACCAACAAACTAGAAACATGCCAACAACGCCAAAGTCAACTAGCGCAGGATTTCTGTCATCCCACAGTATGGGAACCCTGTGGCAAAGTCTGCTTGAGTAGGTGACCTTGATGCGCTGGCAGGTTTCAATAGCACCCTTCTCTTTGAAGGGAAACCAACCTTGAAGCCTTTTGTTCTCATCAGCCAAACACCCTGCCAGTGAATGTGTGTTCGACACGCAACACTGCTTGCAATAGTCCAAACTAGTGCCCAACCACCGTTGGGAGGGGCCCTCAGCGATTTGTTTGGGGTCCCACCGAAAAAGGCCTTGAAAGTGTCCAATGGTTTCCCAGCCCCGCATGTCTGATACTGGATGTACTCCTCCACAAACCACAAAGTGATTCAAGCATGTGCACAGGCTACCCCAACATCCAGCCCTGTATAAGGCCTACACGTGGGTTGACGACATCCTGCCACCTCAGAAACCCTGAGCTGGTGATTCCCCCGGATTTTTTTTGGATTCCAAGTGGTGTGATTTCTGGATTTCGTGCACCCACAGTGTGGTGGGGATGCCCATTTACCTGCATGAACCATGCAAGAGTTTGGTCCATATTTTGTTCCCCTCCCTTCCACCTGCCAAGTTCCCGTTTGTTTTGGGGATGCCCATTTTAGAACCTATTTTTAAAAGGGATTGGGATGGGATTCAGTATGCTGGGGGATGCCCATTTGGTGTTTCGCTCCTCTCCGCTCCACCTGAGTTCCCTGCGCGCCCAGGAAGGCGGAGCTGCACGCCAGCGAGCTAGAGCGTCAAGTGGAGGAGGACCGCGAGGCCCGAACGCGGCCGAAAAAATGCCACGGCGCGTCTCCTACAACCCTCCCCCCCCCCATTTTCTTTTTCCCTGGTGGGTCCATTTTTTGGATTTGTTTAGTCCCCCCCCAGTTTTGTTCCTCTAGTTGGGTCCATTTTTCGTCAACCCAAAAGGTTGCCTCTTTCTTATGGGTCCCTAGGCTTGCTGGTGCCAAGTGAGAAATGGAATCCACCCCGGCATTTTTGGTGGTTTCCTTTAAGGGCCCCCAAAAAACTTGCTGGTTAAGGCCAGTCTCCCATTTACCTCTACAAGAACCAGGTTCATATCCAAATCCAAACCACCGGGCTCCAACAATCGATTTTCTGGTGCGGGAGATGCAGGGAATGAGAGATGTGTTGAATGAGCTCAAGAGGAATCATTGCACTGGCGGTTTTCTTTTGTTTTCGGGAATCCGCACATTTCGTTCCAAGTCTCATCCGCTACTGGACTTTTGGGGGCTTCAAACCACACGAAAAATCCGAGGTCAGCTGGACTTTGCGGGCTTTTAGGCCAGTTCCCATCGGAAGTGAGGGATACCCTGAGCGGGCGTGAAGGAATCTGATGCTGGGGCTCCCTGGGAGCCCCCCAAACCCCTGAAACCACCAATCCAAAGCAACAAATCAGTGGAAGCTGAGAATAGTTGATGTGGAGGCTCCGTTTTTTGTCAGATCTGAGGACAGCCCAGTTGAGTTTTTTCTTTAGTGTTGGTCGACGTTTAGTCATGTGCCCAAAAGTGGTTTGCTTTGAATTTCTGGGTCCCAATTTGGCCAACAACTGAGCTCCAATTTTGCCGGAACTCGTGATTTTCCATTTGCTTGCTCCCCGAGTTTCGGGACTTCATCGCTGCTTTTCTGGAAGCCCGTGTTTGGTAAGCAAGAGGCTGGACCCTCAAAACACCCTCAAAGACAAACTCCCTTTTTTGTGGGTAGTTTGAGAGTCCAGGAGGCTCCATTTTTATTGGCTCCCGGGAAGTCGAAGCGAACTTCTAGGGGTACCTTCCCCATTCTCAAAGACCCAGGGGGAAACGGCCGGTTTTGAAAAGAATGGTGTTTGAAAAGAATGGACAAGGACTCAACCCCCAGAGCTTTGTACAATCCTTCCCAAAACTTAAGGATGTTCCTATTACACCCTGGGATTACACCCCAGAGAGAAATTACCAAATAGTCCCAAGTACACAAAACTCATCCGGTTTTATCTGGAAATAGGGTTATTTTTAGAGGCCTAGCGACCTGAACTCCGAATGCTCAAGTTCCTGTTTCGCGCCTTGCGCGCGCTGCGGGTAGGCGGGTGTCGCTCTGAACGAAACCTTGGACCGCATGGAAAAGGCCGGCAGGAGCAAAGTGGGAGGCCCAAAAGGGGGACGTGGCGGCCTGGCAGCCCTGTGGTTAGAATTCCATTTCTAGGTCCCCCCCAGTGCCCTTTTACCCCTTTTTAGGGGAACTGTGCTTTGATCCTACTGTGGCGTCCATTTGCTGATTTTATATATATATATATATGGTACAGCGTTGCCAGCCCCCCCCCCACCCCCCCCCCCCAATGGTCATGGGTCAGACAAGTACCCCCCGCCCTGTGGTTGTGGTCCTGTGGTTGCTCGGGTTGGGGGGGGGGGGTCCTGGGGGACCCATACCATCTGGGGGGGGGGGGGGCGGGTAGCAACACGGAACACGGGACCATATATATATATATATATAAAAACCCTGTTGGTTTTAAAGGGAATTGATTTCACTACTGGGAATAATTAATTTATTGTTTTTTCCATGGGACTTGGTGGGCGGTTGCGAAATCCATTTCGCAGCACCTAGGAAGCCCTGGAAGGATGATTCCCCTGTAAATGCCAACGAGCAATGGTTTCCCATGGTTTCAAAGTGGTGCACCTTGAAAACCAACGGAGAAAACAAATGGGTACCCTCCCATGATGGCTCGATCCACAACTAGGTCCCCAGTAGTGCCCTTTTACCCTTTTTTGGGGGGAGGGTTCCCCTACTAACAACATAGACTACAGAAAAATGGGTACCCTTATTCTACTGCGGGTGGTTGCGAAATTCCGTCCCTACTGTGGCTTCCATTGAGTTAAGAATGGTTTTTCCCCTGTTGGTGTTAAAAGGGAATCTATCTGGACATGTACTGTGCTTTGGTGCATTTTGCTTGGATGTTGGGACTTTAACTTTTTGCCAACCAATGGGTTTTCCACAATGACACCACTTAAAGTTAAACACTTTTAGCACGGGCGCAGAAAGCAACCGAGCCCGCTGTGGGTCTGGGTCCCCCAGTAGTGCCCCTTGTACCCTTTTTTGGGGAAGGGTTCCCCTACTAAAATAGACTACAGAAAAAGTTGGTACCCTTATTCTAACCTCTCTACTGGATCACCTAGCCAACTGTGGGTGGTTGCGCGAAATCCATGCAGCACCATTCAGAAACTCTCGTTTCTGATGACCCAGCGGAAGTACCAATAAACGTAATGGCTTCAACCATGGATTCAAAGTGGTGCAGGAATTCGTCCATCCAAATCCGGTCTAGATCTTTTTTGGCGGCCCACAAAGGTCAACCCGAAGAAGGCTCGCCTTCTTCCAAGATCACCTGGCTAGGGATGGGCCACCCCAAAGATCTTATTTCATGGGTTTCGAGCTCACTCATTCCTGGGTAGAACAAGGTCACAATGCAAATCCAATCATTTGCAGGTCCTTTACTTGCGAATGCGATTCTTACAGGTGTTGAACATCGATTCTAGAAATCACACACACTTTTTTTTTGGCACAAGACGAGAGCATCACTTTTCGAGCGTCAAGGGGTGCGGGATATGTGGTTGGCCCCTATGCGAGCTGGTGACCCGTGCAGGATTTCATCCATCCGTAGGGGGCCTTCACTGTTCTTGGCATTTGTTTGTTTTTGTTGGTTTTGGGTTCAGTTCATTTTCAGTAGGGGGCTCCAGAAAAACAAAGTTGTTTGCTACCATACCAAGGGTTGTGAAGTCTTGCATGGGTTGGGCGTTAGTTGGCAATTCCCTGATCCGGGGCAAGAGCAGAGGGGTTCTTGGAACGAGCTGGCGCTGAGCAGATCTCTTTTGGGGGAAGGCCAAATAGGGCGCCTGAACCGGGAGTCTCTATGACCGGTTATGACCGGTCAGAAGGAGACTCTAGGGAAAGGCTCTAGGTTGGGGAGCAGTGCCCCAAACAGCGAGGAGGAGCTCAAGACAGACCCGGAGAGGCACCATCTTTCGATCCGTGAACTCCGAGTCCGGGTCAGAGTGGGCCCCTCGGCTCTTAAAAGTGGGAAAGGTCTTCAACCCTGCCAGGTTCACTTCAAAAAGAAGCCAAATTGCAATGTCCAGGATACCCCTTGCATCCATGTTGCTTAAAGGTGTTTATATCGGGTGGCAAGCGCGTCCTTGGTGACCTACAAAACCAGGTAGATGGATCCATGGCTGACACGGGAGGATCTGATCCAGAGGCGGCGTTCTCAAAATCCACCCGGCCCCAAGGAATGTTGGCAATCCTCTTTGGAACAGCGCTCAGAAGGCAACCTAGAACCCCATTTCACCAACACCCACAAGGGCAACCCACCCATTTGGATTCCCTTTATCCTTCAAAAAGCCAGATTTTCGGCTTGAGAGGTTTGCTAGGTCTCCCAGTAGTGCCCTTTTTGTGGGGAGGGTTCCCCCACTAACATGGACAGACAAAAACCGGTACCCTTATTCTCTCTACTGGAGGACGCAGGGGGGTTGGACCCAATCATTGGCTTTTTGCTATTTTCCAAGCCAACTGCCGTCCTTACACTGGTTCTTTTGGGGGGCAGTCCTCCCTTAACCAAGCCCAAAATTTGGTGAAGCACTTTTTGCCGTAGACTGCCATTTCAAGAGTGCTGTTCGGCAATTCTCGGGTGGCAAAGCGGCCAAGCGAACTTTTCTCGGCTTCGGCCCAGGACCCTACGAGCTCCGTACAGTTCCCGGAGGCGCCGCGGCGCCGGCGCACGCTGCCTTTGCTGGCCCCGGCGTCTTGGACGAAGTTTTGTATTTTGTTGTGGGGAAACCGCGGGATGTATTTTTTACCTGGCTGTGACTATGGGTCAACAATAGGTACCCCAAATGGCTTGCCCTAGTTTAATTTTGACCCATACTCACCTGTATAGAAAGCAAATAACCTGCGTTGTACGAGTATCCCACTCGGACCACAGACCTGCCAAAACTGCGCTGTTGGTGGCAAAACCCTGCTTGGGTGTCCTTTGTAGGTGGGTGAAATGGGGCCACGCGGGCTTCCTGGGGCAAAAGGACATACCTGCCGATGGCTGTTGATGAGTGTAGATCCTCCACCCTGGAGATTCAAACGTCAAGGAATTCCTAGTCATTCTCGGCATTGACCCTGTTTTGGACGCAAACGCCCGCAAATTACCGCAAACGCCTAGAAACAGGAACCACCCGCAAATTGCCGCAAAACGCCCGCAAAAAAGAGGCAAACGCCCGCAAAAAAGCGCAACAAACCGCAAAACGCCTAAAGCACCTAAAACGCCTTGAGAACCAGAACGCCTAGGAATTCCTCGGCATTGGAATCTCCAGGACGCTGAGAATCATGCAGTTGGACCTCAAAACGGCCCTGACGCCAAGATTCATAGAATAAGCCAAGCCCGGCGAAGTAGCACCATGGTGGAGACCCCGCCTATCATCAATGCCAATGGAAAGCTGTTGGATTGAATCGGGCAACTGTCTTTGTGGGGCTTGTTCGGTTTCTTTTCGGGTTGCTTTGCGAAAACATGTCAAGGAGTTTTATAGTGGTTGAGTCGGTGTGCATGGTATAAGCCACATAAAGGGAGTTGGGCAGCATGTCACCATTCAGAAACCCTGGAATGATTCGAATCCCCTGTAAATACCACCAAGCAATAGTTTCAGCCATGGTTTCTTAGGTGGTGCGAAATGGATTTCGCAAGCATCCACAGATATCCAGAGTATCACCTTAGCCTTGCCCCTCACACGCCACAAGTCGAACATGAACTCCAGCGGGGTCGGCTCCAGCGGGCTGTTCATGTGCAACCTGTATGGTGGCTATATGGGCTATATAGGCTAGGTCCCCCAGCTAGGTGCCCTTTCTCACCCCTTTTTTTTGGGGGGGAGGTTCCCCTCCTAAAATAGACTACAGAAAAAAGGGCTAGCCTCTCTACTGGAGGACCTGGTAGGGGTTATTTGCTCCATTTTGCCTGGCCAATGGCTTGGGCGTGTTTGAGCCAACCTCGTCTTTTTGCTGAGGCAGAATCCTTCGAACTGGACGAGTGGGGCAGCCTCGACGAGATCGCGCGCCTCGAATCGGCCGCTTTGGCTGCAGTCGATGTGGTCTCGCCCATGGCGGGCGTAGGGCGGGGGGGGGGGGCGTGAGGGGCTTGAACCAGGGTCCCAGGTTTTGCTCTCACACATGAATTCCGAATGAGCAATAAGAAACCAGCGCGAGCCCAGTTCTTTGCTTCGAGTTTAAGGGACCTTCATGTGCGTTCATGTGGAGGTCCCCACACATTCCCCCGATGGGCGCATCAAGTTTTGCAGATCTTAACGTTGGTTGGTAATTACGGGGAATCATCATTTCAGGGTTTCTTAGGTGATGCGTAATGGATTTCGTCCATCCACAGTAAGATATTTTGCCGGGTGGGGAAATTGGCCCCTTGGCGTGGGTGGATGGTTGAAATAAGGATTTGAACCCCCTAAATGGCGGTTTCCCCCTTTAGGTTGCTTCCAAACCAACCCAAAACGTGTAACCCTCAAATCTTTTCGGGAAGAGCATTTTAGTGGGAAACAATATATAGGTTTCTTTTTAAAACAAAAAATGCGAATCCACTCGGAAGTGAGACAACAAACACACCCACTTCGCCAGCTGCAAACATATCCATTTGATGGCATGCGCGAGCTGTGAGGTGGCCCATTAGCTTACCCTCGTCAAAGTCACCCAAGTGCTAGGCTGTAGGGAAACACCCCCAGTTTCTGACTCAAACGACAACCAGAGGCTCAGAATCAGGATCCCAGGATTGTATGTTTCAGTTTGTCACGCACTTTTCACGCTGTTTTCTGATTGACAGCTGTCGTTCATTGGATCCAAGACGGCGGCAAGGCGCGCTCGATCGCCACACTTGGGCTTGGGCACCCTTGTTAACTTTTGAGCCACACCCACAAACCCTTCAGCTGAGTTTAGGCCCATGTCCAGCTGAGAATAAAACCTACTCTTCAGCAACTCACTTGCTGAGATGGCCCAAACAAGTGACCAAACTTGATATTTACCTCCGCCTATGAGGCCCGAGCGCAACGAAAACCCCCCTCGTACCCATCCCAAGTGCCTGGACATTGCCTGGAGAAATTGTCACGAGCTATGCCTGGTAAGGGAAACACGCTCCCCTATGAGGAAGATCTCGTTGGGGATGCCTGATTTCTGCTTGTGAATCGTCGTAATTTGCCTAGACCAACGTGGAACCCAACAAGAAAGTCACCAAAGAACAAGTTTATCCGTACCCGTTGTTTTCTTGGTCGTTCTAGCATGCCCCGATTTGGGGGTCCATGCCAATCGTGTCAGAAACGGTGCACTGTTCTTGGGAACTCCATGCCAGTAACCACCAAACCCATTCGTTGATGTTCGCTTGGCACTCGGGGTGTTTGCACGGCTTCCTGCTTGAATGATCCGGGAGTTACCTCAGTGGTTAGTAGCGTCTAGTTTTAGCTCACGGCGTCCGCAACGACCCCGTGGATTTCTTTGTTTTTTGGACGTTCATCCCTGCGTTCCTGCATCATGGTTCGGGGGGGATGGGTGGGCGGGGGGGGGGGGTTGGGGTGGGGCATGATAAGCACACCGCTCAACTTTGGCTCCAGGACCATGGGTCATCATTTTGTTCTCGCTCTTTCTGTTGCGTACGTTCTGCTGCTGCGTGTCGCGTGTGCACCCTGCCCCATTGTTGACTCGTGGTTCCAGGCATTTTGGACGTGTGATCCGTTCTTGTTGGACGCTCGCTTTGAAGTTTTCGCTGGTAGTTTGTCTGATCCTTTCGCGCATTTTGCGGCATCTGTTGGTGCGATATCTGCTCGAAGCCCTTTGTCCTGGTGTCGGTTACCTGCTGCACTGCCGCGTCTTCGCGCTGCCTGGCTCACGCTCTCGCGCGCCCGCTCCCCGCTTACCCCGGCTTTGCGCGTTCTATCCCGACGTTTGTTGGTCATCAACTTCACTTCTGCGCCATCCTCAAGCCAGTGTGGAAAAAGCACGTGCCCAAAACAGTGGCCACTCGTGGTGCGTGTGACAGACGCGCAAACCCACGCCTGGACCAGTACATGTACTCATTTCAGTTTCGCAAAAACTGTAGCAAGCCATTGTGGGATGCTCTGGGAGACCTGTGCAAGAAGTTGCTATGAAAAAAAAGGCGCGGGCAGCCTCAAGAAACGCGCGCGTGTTGGCCAGCAGCGCGAAGTGCTGCTATTCTCAGGCGATTTCGCTCTTTCTTGTCAAAGCCATGGTAAAAATGGAACAAAACAAACATGGTGCGTGTCAACGATGCAACGAAATGTTCATAAAACGCAGGAATTTTGGTAAACGTGCTTGGTCGCCCTGGTCAAAAGCAGCGTGGTCATTAGCAACGCCGTGACCTAGTTTTAGCCCATTTTCCATGTTTGCAAGCCCCCTACAAACAGGATGATAATTCCTGCTAAGTCTCAGAACATCTAAGTGGAATGCTTTCGGTAAACCCTTGTCACCATTTAGAAACCCTGGTTTCTGATTCGCAAATCCCTTGCAAACTCCACCTTAAGCTGGACGTGTTGTTGCTGAATTCTTCCGGGTTCCCATGTCGTTTTTCTGGGTGGATCTCAGGAAAACCGGGAGCTGCTGCAGCGCGTGCAAACCTTGGAGTGTGACTTCGCCCAATTTCCGAGCAGGGCCGCGGCGGGTGGCTCTACCTTGCTTACCTGGGCTGTTCGGGTTCCAATGACTCAACTTCGGTGCATGTTGCTTGGATGTTAGGACTTGAACTTTTTGCCAACAAATGGGTTTTCCAATTAAACCACCAAGAAGTTAAACTTTCAGCAGGGGAGCAGAAAGCAACCGAGTTAAGGAACTCGTTTCCTGTTGGTTGAGGCACAGGTCGTGACTGGCGGGATGATTTGATGGATGTTTCGCCAACGTGATAAGTGGTCGGAATCCAGATAGCCTACTTTCCGGCTCGTCCACTTGGTGCAAGTTAATCACTGGGTCTGATTTATCGGATGTTTCACTACCAAATCCCAGGTAGCCCGTCAGGTGGTTTGGAGCCCGGTGGTTGGAATTTTTGAATTTGGAATTTGGAGCCCGGTCCCTGGTTCTTGTAGAGGGTAGATGGATTGGAAGCCCGGAAGACCACCACCAAGCCAAACCACCAATTGATAGGAAGCTGATTAGTAGAACTGGGCTGTTCAAAGCCTTACCTCTTTAAAACACAACTTTTCAATTTTTTGGGGTAACATGGGCTATATGTCTGTAAAAGATTAACTTCCCCAGGGCTTGGAGTTTTAAGGGGTAAGAAGCCGACCTTTTGACCTTTTGGTTTTCCCTTTTTTGTCTATTTTCAGTAGAGGTCCCAAAAGGTTTTTATTTACAGGTCCTTTGGGCAAGTGAGGTATAATTGGGCTGTTCAAAGGCAATCCTTAATCCTTACCTTGAGTTGCGAAAGTGTGTACTGGTTTCCCATAGGGACTTATTTTGCACAGCCCAGTATAAGGATGGAAGGGCAATCCCTAAAAACGCCTGTACACCCATCTTAGAACAACAAGTGAGCTCGGGTTTTGGTCGCTTTTGTTTGGCTCGGCCGGAGGGCAAGAGTGGGAAAGGTATTGCTAGATTTTTTAGCTCACTTGAGCGCATGGACGATAAGCTGTTTGGGTTCGGACCATTTTAGTGCCAGTTGGACTTCTCGTGGCCAATCCACACAGGGGCCGTGAGGTGCGCAGTTTGTGAATCTACCAACTTCTTCCCCTCAAACATATCACCCATTTTCCCATTTCCAAGCTCCAAGGCCGTGGCCGCGCTAAGGTTTCCGTGCGCCGAAGCCTTTTCAACATCACCAGTCACCAGGGCTCCTTAAAAGATCTCCATTTTGCAACCAATCGAAACATGTGGCTTTTTCAACGCCAAAATAAAGTTGGACACCTCCATTTACAAGGCAATGTTCAGGTGTTAAATGCATCCGGATCCCTGATCACCCCCGCAGAAGGGACACGCGCTGTCAATCTGCAACCAACGCGTGGCTGTTCAAAGCCACCACAGTCTTGGGACGCCTTGGGAGCCCTGGAGTCAATTCGGGGGTCCCCGGTCCCCCTTGAAGCAGTGCCGTGCTTTTTTTGTTTCTCCCCCCTTTTTTGCATTTGTGTTTAAACACAAAATATTTATTTATATGTGTTTTTCTCATTTTGTTCTTTGTTTTTTGTTGTTTATTTTTTGTTGTTCTTTTTTTTGTTTTCCTTTTTTCCGAGGCGGCAGCTCTTCTTCCAGCGACTCCTCGCCTGAAAGCTCGGAAGGCAGTGCACGGCCGCGCTTAGGGTCCAAGCAGACGGTGCGCCCTTCGGCCGCAGCCGTGGGGGGGGGGGGGGGCGGGGGACGGGGCTCTGACGACTTCGCGCCTGCAAAGGGAAGACATTTTCCAGGGCCCGCGCTTGTTCAACTCCCCCCTGAGTTCTTCTAAGCTGGCTTAGCAGCGGGGTAGGTGTGAACAGGTCCGCTTCTCATTTTTTAGGTGAAACGGTAAAACGGTTTTCACAGTTTGTTCCTGGACTTCAAAGAACTTGTTGGGTTTGGACCATTTGAGTGGTAAACGTAAAGTCTGGGCCTTTCCGACTAATATACTCAGGAAGTGAGTCAAAGATAATCACCCTGAAATGGCCTTTTCTTCTTCTTTTTGTGCAGGAGGAATCACCTCCGAAGTGATTGCATAGGAACCGCCGAAAAATGTCCACCAACGCTCCTGCATTCTGATGCTGCTGATTAACTGGTACTACTGAATACCCAGGATGCTCATGTCCGAGCTTCATTTTAGTGTTCACGAAAGCATTCCCCCTGTTTCTTGCTTTGGGGGACACCCGTTTTTTTTTTTTTTTGGGGGGGGGGGGGTTAAAGGACACCAACAAGAAACGCATCATTCTTGTGGGACCTTCGAAGAAAGACGCACCCAAAACAAACGACCAAAGGGTCAGGGTGCAACATGTGGCCTTCTTTTTGTTTCAAGCCAATGTTCTTTTCGCCGGCGGCTTTTTGGCCTCGGGTGAAGAGCCGAACAGCTTAATTCCATCCTTCTGTCTTTGGGTGTAGAGGTTACGAATCTTCTGAATTAGACATGAGCCACAATCAAAACCTGGGTAGATGGAGGTTAGTAGTGAGACTCTCAGCCATAAATAGCTTCGGCCGCCTTCTTAATTCTGTACATGGTTCTGGGTAGAGCGTTTTAATACCGGGTTTTGACTATGACTTACATGGAGAAAATGAGACAAGAACGGAGGCACCTGAACCGCAAACATGTTCACAGTACGGTTTGGGACTGGCTTTGTTTTGAGGCTTGGTCCTCTTTTTGGGCTGGTGTTGGCCCGCCGTTTTGGCGGGCAATCGAAAAAAGAAGACACGCCCGTGTGTCTTCAATATCAAAGAACTAGCAGGTGATGCGTTTGCCTCATGGAAATCCAGTGGGTTTCTGAGAAGGCCTCACTTTGCAAAAATGTGCGTATTTTGTTTTGAGGGCACCCTTCTGTGAGGTAGCTTCTTGGCAAGTTGTTTGGTTGTTTGTTTTTCTTGTTGGTTCTGTTCATGGTTAGTCGACCTTTTGTCGGGTGTGTCTTGTTTTGAGGCCGTCACAGGAAAACCAAAAGGAAACCAGCCATTTGTTGGCACCAGACATGTTTTTGCAAGCAAGCAAGCAAGCAAGCAAGGAGCCGAGCACGTAAGTGTGGGCAATTGACACGGTTGGTAAGTGAGCAAGCAAAGTAGGTGAGCCAGTCATAAGGAAGAAAGTAAGCAAGCAACTAAAGAAGCAAGTAAAGAAGCAAGTAAGTCGGTGTGTAGGTAGGTAAGTGAGTAGATGAGTAAAAGTAAGTGAATGAGTACGTAAGCTAACGCAAGTCAGTTCAGAAAGGCTATCAACGAGCAGGTGAGGTTGACATGCTAGAGACTGCCCGTTAGCCAACCCCGCAAGAACTGTTTCCGTGGATCCGAGGATTCCGCAGACAGGCTGCTGTGATGCATGCTCGCGTGCAAAGCGAGCCGGACACGCTTTTTCGATGAGGGAGAAGGAAGTGAGGTGCCCCAAAATGAGCGCGGGTAGCTTTTTTTCTTTCTCTTGTTTTTTTTGCATTTCAACCAATGGTCATCCCATGTAAAGGACCTTTTCGTCAACCCCCAAGTACACTTTTGCAGAGTGCGTAGCGCTCGTCGTGAAGCCTAATTGTGAATGCGCCCTGGCAAATTCACGAGGGAGGGGCATCCCATTCTAGAGGGGACCCCCTCAGCAAGGTCACTTGGATGTTCGATTCGGCAAGTTGGTGGCTAGCCACCTGAGTTATAACGAATAGGGTCAACTCCACTCAGAGACTTACGGACGCGGACGTCAAAGTGGGTTATCACCCAGGTTACAAAAACTTACTAGCTTCAAAGACCCAGTCATACCAGATCAATTAATCTGGCGCCAGCATTTGGATGTGCCTGCACCATTCAGTGTTGGACTTCCCCGCATCCAACTGATTGTCCAGCGCTCACCCTTGTTAGCGTCGAAATTCCAATTGCTTGAGGAAGTCGTTTCCCGTTGGAAAAGGCACAGGTCGTGACTGGTGAGTTTTATGGATGTTTCGTCAACGTGATAAGTGGTCAGAATTTCGATAGCCTACTTTCCGGGCCAGCAGGGCTTCGTCCACATGGTGAACCTATAAGTTACTCACTGGGTCTCATTTTCGGATGTTTCACTACCAAATCTTCCCCGGAATTAGTTCCCCTTTTTGCTTTTTTGCTTTTTTGGGCTCCCCTTTATGTTCCACTAGCCAGGCAAAAATCACATGTTTTTGCCGGGGTCAGATTTTTCCAGCCAAGAAATCGGAGGCAAGCCGTGCCCGGTGGGTGGTTTGGGATCTGAACCGGTTCGCAAGTGGAGGCTTTGGTTTGGAGCACCTCCAAACCGGAAAAAAAATCCACGAGCTGAAGCTGAAAAGAATTGAAACCACGGAGCCCAGCCTCAGGGTATTTTTTTCTTCGGCTTTCTTGGGTCTGGCTGTTTTTTGGGGAGCTGAAGCCCGCAAAGCCGCGAACACGGGGTGGGGGGGGGTCTCTTTGAACTCCTTCTGATATGGCCTTGAGGTAATTACCCTCCCAAAAAACTATGTTATTAATGTCTCGTTTCGGTCAACCAATCAGTCGACTTTGGTGTGCGTGTGTGGGTGAGAAAGGGAACCTCTGAAATTCTGCGATTTCCTTTGCTTCGTTGAACTCAGTGGTAAGCAAACGGTTGGTCGACTTGAATGGCCAATCCACTCGATGGGAAGTGAGTTTAGAACCACGCCCCGAAAGGTGAAAAAGGCACCCATTTCCTAGTCAAGAAAGAAGATACCGTTCGACTGGTATTTAACTTGCAACATTCACGCGATTCCGGTTTTGTGCGCCTCTTTTAAGATTCCTCACTTGCCCCAAGCGAATTGACCTTTTGGCCTTTGGTTTCTCCTGTTCATCCTTTTGTCACTCTGAAAGGTTAAGTTTTTATTTCAGGGCTGCTGAGCTTGCAAAAACTCAGTAGGGAGTGAGGGAATCACCCCTATAAACCATTTCACAGTGGTTTCCTTTGGGGAATCCCTGGGTTCATGCCCAGCCAAGAGCTGAGGCTACCACTGACCCTGCACAGCGGCTGAACATCTTGTACTGGAAGACTTTGGTGGAGCGGTACGTGCACTCGCGGCCCTGCTGAAACAGGCGACACTACGCCTTGACTGCTATTGGGTAACGGGTCTTTAGACCTCAAAACTTGTTGGTTGAAATCAAGTCGTGTTGACCTACAAACCCCCCAAAAAGTGATGTCAACTTTTTGCAGGGGGTCCTTCCAGCAACCAAGACGCCAAGGGATGTGTGGACTGGACTGAGAAAGTGGGGGCCACTAGCGGGTGCTTGAGCCCGGCAGGGGCGAAATTTCTGCCGTTCAAGAGTGAGCCATTCAGAAAAGGAGCGAGGCATTCTGGAAGGGCATGGTAGTACTTCATGTTTTTGATATGCGTTTTCGAGGACCTTCGAACAATCTACAAAACATGCGGACCTCTTGCTAAGGCATGTATTTTCCTCAAAGCGTGGATCAACAAATAGTCAGTGTCAAAATACAATGCCGCGGCCTTCCCGAGATGGAAGCTGAAGAAAGATGTGCAAGAAACATCGGCTTGAACCATTTTCTGTTTGCCAGGTGATGTGCACTTTGCATTTATCCGGATGGCCATGTTATTCAGGGTTGGTTCCCCACAACCGGTTCATTCTGGAGAGATTCCCTTGATTAGTGTGGTCCTCCACATCTGATTCGATGTCTGCACATGGATATGTAGCCACTTCACTGTTGGCATGTCTTTAGTTGTTTTTGTTGGTTATGTTCATCTTTTCAGGTTTGGGTGCTGTAAAACTAGACAAGCAAGGGCTGCTTGCTACCATTCTAGGAGACACTGCCCCACTCTTTCCAGGGATCCTTCTTTCCATCAGAACCCCAGCAAAAACGGATCTGGGTTGAAAAGAATGATTGGAATGAACCCGTAGAATGTTGACCCTAGATGAAGTTAAAGCCCTGCTTAATTTTGATTGGGGGGTGACCCCAGCCCATTCCGGGTGGGCCCAAAGGGGTTCTCCAGCTTAGGAAGAGCTGCTCTTTTCAGCGTTTGGTGATCTCGCGCTGGGAGACCTTTGCCGAGCGCCTGGTGTACTGGCGGCTTGGCTGCTCATTGATCCGCCAAAGGGGGGGCTACGGGGGAGGGGTATCCCGGGAGAAGCCTCCCCATTAGAATAGGACGGGTAGTTAATCCGGGGTCATCATTATTTGTATTTTTATGGAAGGCCATAAAGAAAAACCTTCATTTTGGGATCCCCGGATAGCCTAGGATGAGCAAGGGATGAGCCCTTAACAAGGCCTTATTCTTGGGTTAATAAGGGATAGCCCGGCGGGGGGTCGCCATTTGTGGTAGGTGTTCGAATGGAAGGCCAAAACTCACTCCCTTCTGAGTGTTTTGTTTGTTCTCCCCGTCGGCTTGCTGCGATTTCTCTCAAAGGTCCGACGGGGGCTCGTGAAGGTTGATTCCGCCCTTGGCGTTGGTTGCACCAATGCATGTTTGGGAAACCACTCAAGACTTGTTTGTGCTTTTGCCGTGTTGTGAAAGTAAGAGTTATTTGTAAAGAACGGGGTGGGTGCAGCTAGAGCAACTCAGTTGTTCAGCGGCACCCTTTTCCCATTTTTTGTGGCCCCACTAAAGATGGTCTTCCCCAAACAGGGTTCCCTTTTTTTCCAGGGTTACTGAACAACTGAGGCAATGTTGCTTTCATTGGTTTCGCGTAAACTGGCTTGCTGCCAAATTTGGTGAATGTCATTCGTTGCCCTTTTTCCAGGCCTAGCCGGCACCGGGTCCAACCGTTTTTCCTAATGAAGTATAAAATATGTTTATTCTTTCCAGACCAGCTATTTAGCACCCAATGACTCACGAGTTCCGTTTCGGACTTTGGTCCCTTTTTCGGTTTGGACCATTTTGGTGCTAAATCAAAAGTTGTGGTAACTTTACCCAGTGGATCCTTTTGGCGAGCCCTCATAGTAGGCAACCCATGGCAAGCCCTCACAGCAGGCAACCCATCGTTACTTCTTGAGCTTTGTCTTTCCGGTTTGGAGCATATTGGTGGTCAAGAGCAGTTTGGTTAACTTTGTTTGACCCTTTATTCTTTGGACTGTGGACCCTTCTGGTGGCAAATAAAAGCTTTAAAGGTTCAGCTTCTTTTTTCGGGCCCAGTCCACTCAGGAGGTAAAGACGACCACTTCGCGCACGCAGGCCCAAAGGCCCGAAGGCAGACAACACTCGGCCGAGGAGCCAGGCGGACTCGGCCACGGAGGCGCTGAAGAAAGACTTCCAGGAGCAGAGGAAGCTGAACGAAGCTCAGCAACGACTCAGTTCTTCAAAGCGAATCGACCGGATCTGACCTTTGTTTCTCCCTTTTTGGTCTATTTTCAGTAGAGGTCCCAAAAGGTTAACCAATCGACCTGAAATGACCTTTTGACCTTTCCCTTTTAGAGATCGCGCCAGGCTCTCTCTTTTTTTCCAGAAGGGATTCCGCTCCCTTTGTTTTGCCTCGTTGGGGAAATCGCCACGTAAATTTATGTGTTTGTTTCTGCTCTTTTCCTGGGAGGGGATGAAAAGGCATTCCTCCTTTGTTTTGCCTTGCTTCCCTTCCATAGCATGGCGTGGATGGCAAGAGCACACCAAAATAGCCCCAAGCCTTGCAAATCTACACCACAACTCGCCAGCCAAAGGCCGAGCTTTTCACCTGGTTATCTTGGCTTGATCCATATTTTTTCAGTCATGACTTCAGAAGGTCCACCTTAGATTTCTGGGTCCTTTGGGCAACGAAAAGGGTGGAACATGTCACTTCATCATATGAGTGTGTCTCGTTTTTGGGGACCCCACGAGAATGGTGGTTTTCCCTCTGGCTTCCCTTTAAAACCCACCCAAACGGGGTACCTGGAGCCTCCATGGTTTCTTTTTTTTGGAGACTGCAGGTAGCCTCGAAACAGGGCAGACCCATAATTTTGCCCCATTATAACCGGCCAGGTTATGAATAGGAGGTTTTTCTGGGTGAGGTGTGGTTGGACTGAAATGTAGGTACCCTCAACCAAAAGGACGGACCCATTCCAGGGGTGCTTGTACATACCCCTTTTACATACCCTGATGTTCATACCCCTCTCCCTCAAAAGGGGTATACACCCCTTACAAAGTGGGTTAGAAACCAGGGAAGCCAAGGAGCCGGTATGAACAAGGGGTATGTACTTACCCTTAGACCCCTGACTGCTATTGGGCAACGGATCTTTAGACTTTAACTTTTTGGTTGAAAATACAGGGGTTTTCTGTACTAAACCCCCAAAAGTGGCAGGTTTTCTACTAAACCCCCAAAAAGTGGTCAACTTTTTGCAGGGGGTCAGCAGCAACCAAGAACCCATGGCTCGACCCCGGGCCCTTGACTCGGCTCGCCTCGGCTCGCCTCGACTCGGCTCGCCCAGGACCCGCTGCGGGTGGCTCGCCAGGAGGCGGAGGAGCAGGCGCACATCGCCCAGCGCCTGGAGGAGGACATGGAAGCGCCGCTCAGAGAAGTCCAGCGAAAAAGCTGCGAAACGCCTGGTTTACCTGGTGGTTCAATCTGGGCCATCTTTCGAAAAAGGACACCTGTGGTTGCGAGGTTTGCATGGTTTGTGGTTTAATCTTGGACCTTGTTTTCTGTGCACCCCCCCCCTCAAACAGAACTTGACATAAATCATGTACCGGAACAGTGGGGGGGTCGTGTTTAAGCCGGGGAAACTCAACATAATTCAGACTACTGATAATTAAACCAGGTGCAACTTTACAAAATAAGCCGTTTTCTTGGTGTAGAAAGGGGAGGGGCTTGCAAGTGACGCTTTGTCGCTTGCTGATTGATAAGCCCCTGGCTGGTTCATAGCATGGCTTGCGAAGTTGTCCACTGTTTGTGGGACAAATACTCAGTTGTTCAAAGCCGACCTTTTTATCTTTTGGTTTTCCCTGTTTGGTCCATGTCTCATGCCCAGCAGAGGTCCCAAAAGGTTAACCTTTTATGTCCAGGTCCTTTGGGCAAGTAAGAAGAAGCAGGCCCCCTAGTGTAGAAAACCGTTTCAAGGGAGGATTATTATTTCAGGGGAAAAGGCAAACACTGGAATTTTGTTCAATACGCTCGTGACTTGCTTGGACTTCTTGCCACTTGATGATGCGAGTTTGGCCAGTTGCTTTTGTCCCCAACGGGGGCTACGGACAAGGAGTCTGTCCTTGGCCGCGTGACTTGCTTTAGTTCACTCACTTGCAGCTTTTTGAGCGGCAAGCAATCAAGGAATTCTTCAGATCGTGGCTCAAATTTCGCTTCCCACCATCAAAAAAAGCGCGCCAATTTGAGAAGCCCTGAAAACTCCACCACTTTTTTGGGCTTTAGTATTGCTGCTCAGACTTTGCCACTTTGGGGGAAACCATTTTAGTAGTAAAGAATCAGTTTGGCTACTTTACCCGGTGGATTCCAGTTACCCTCAGAGCAGGTAACCAGCTGCTTTCCGTTTGACTCTTTGAATTGTGACAACAGGTAAATGGATCCGGTTTAATCCCTTCTCCCTAATAATAAACGCCCCCCCCCTCTAATTAAAAAAAAAAGAAAGAGAACAGCTCCCTGCCAGCAAAGCCATTTTTATTCTTAGGGGTCCCTTTATTAATAGGCACGTGATTAAATGTATTCCAGTCCACGTTTGGGAAAAACGTTTTGGTCAGAGAGTTTGGGTACTCTATTGCTACCTTCCCCATTCTTTCCAGGGATCCTGCTTTCTAGAAAACCTCCGGAAACCCAGGGAAACGGCCGGTATTTGAAAAGAAGGATGTTTGAAAAGCATGGACAAGGAATCAACCCTTAGATATACCTTATTTGTTCCGGTGCAGGCAGCTGAGTTTCAATACCCGACATGGAAGTTCCAGGAAGTCTTAAGACTTGGTTCCATTTACACAGGAAAGCCTGGGATGTACCAATCCCCTGAAAAGTCGGTCTTCAGGATTTTTCCTTTGAACTTTTGAAAGGTGGCATTTTTTTGGTTCTCGCAAACACCACCTGGCAAAAGAAACTATCCACCGCGCAAACAAGCAAAGACTAGTTCAGCACAGAAAGTTCCAGCGAGCTTCGTTTGATCCCAACACTCCCCGCTTGCGTCCCACGACGGTTTTCGCGTAAGGCGCTGCTCGCTGGAGATGTCGGAGGCCAGGGAGAAGCTGGTGGTCACCGAGCAGGCGGGCGATGAAGCCCATGGATCAGCGGGATCCATGGGGCCACGGACAGTCCGGACAGTCAAAACCAAGGCGACATATCCGTTTAATGCTGACCCCGGATCTAAGTAGAACCCCTGGTTGGTTTTGATCGGGGGGTGTCCTCGGTTTTAGTGGGGACAAGTCTGACTCCCTGAGTTCCTCGACTTTAGTGGCTCTTTGGGATCAATTTAGCTGTTAAACAAAGCTCAGACTAGTTTTGGCCAAAACCCTTCCATTTGATGAAGAATAGGTTATGATTTAGTTTGCCCTTTTGGTTGCAAAGGCAATCTATCACTACTGGAAACATAGTTGTTTCCAGTGGGCAAAAGCAAATGGAAGTGAAGCTTAAGAGGGAACCACCGCAAAAGCGGTTGGTGAACATGAATCCACAGCTGAACAATGTCCGCCAAAGGGTAATTCAAGTTCCCTCCCAGCTGGTGCCCCCTATCCACAAGCCACTGCCTCAAGGGTGACATGGGAAAAACAAACATTATATCATGGTTGTCGTTGGGGAACATTTTACATTTTTGCTTATTGCAGTTTAGTGGGAACTTTTCACTTAGCTGCTAAAATTTAAGTTCTTGCTCCCCTTCCAACGTCAACCAAGATATGCATATACTCCTCGTTGTTTCTGGCAGCTAGTGGTTTTGGGATAGTCGGCGCCATCCTTGATTCGAGCGTCGAGCATTGCATCGAGTTGCCACGTCAAACATCTACCGCCAGCGGGTTTTCAGCGGGCTTTAGGTCGAACCAGTCGACAAGACTCCTCCAGTGGGTTACGAGCCTTTTTCCAACTTTTGGGAGGCTTTTGTTTGGGAGGTGTTTCCGCAGCTGGCAGCTATGGGGTCTCTGCCTAGATAGGCTTTTGGGTGGTTCGGAGTTCCGGGCGTTTTCGGGTTCCGCCTGTGCTTCTGGGACTGCTATTTGGGATACCACCTGGGCTTGCTTATTGTTGGTTTCCCTCTAAACCACCCAGTGGATCCCAGTTTCCCGTTTTGTAGGTGACTCGCAATTGTCCTTTGGGTTTTTATATCGGGTGGCAAGCCCTTGGATACCTACAAAGCCGGGTTTGCATGGATCCACTGGGTCAACCTTCCCGACAAAAAAAGAGTGCCAAGAAAAAACAAGAACAAAACCATCATCCACTCACTTGCCCAAAGCCGACCTCTTGACTTGTTGGTTTCCCTGAAAATCATAATCCACTCACTTGCCCTGGGGGAAGACGAGTGCCAGAATCTCAGTCACGTTTGTGATCAAGCTGGGGAAAAAAAGCAAGTGCCAAGAAAAAAACAAACACCGGTGCATGGACGTCAACAAAAAAGACGGCCGTGATTTTTTGCGGCCTAAAAACCGGCCCCCCAGAATTGGGGCCAACATTTTAGGCGGCCCTGGGGTCGCGCATGGCTCAAAAAGCAACGCGCGCAGAACTACGAGCTGGTGCGGCAGAGGGTGCAGGAGCTCGAGGAGGACCAGTTCGAGCACAGCCAGTCCTTCATGCGCCTAGAAGCTTTGGGTGCGGACGTATCAAAATGGGCTAGCTGCCCCCCTTTTTTTGGGAAAAGGTTCCCCACCTAAATTAGACTACCGGAAAAAAGTTGGTACCCTTATTCTAACCTCTCTACTGGATGACCTAGTGGGTGTGTGCTTCTTTTCAAGGCGACCTCCTTTTTGGTTGGTTTTACAGGGAAACCGACCGACCATCCAAGATAGCGATTTGTCGATTTCCCCGTGTTGAACGTTCCATTCCAGTGACTGTGGGACTGGGTTGCAAAATAGGGTTTAAAAAGCCAGGCGGTATCAGAAAGGGCGGGACATCTGCATTTTCCTCCATTTGGGATGCTTAAGTGAGGCGATGTTTTTCTTGGCAAAATGTGGCTTTTGGGTATTGATATGGAACGCACTCCCAAGTGGTGGTCATGAATCCGTACCAAATTTTGATGTCCACCAGAGGGTCCGGAAATCATACCAATGTAGAGAATGCCGATCTTTTTTCCGAGCTCATCAGGTAAGGCGAGCAAACGCAGTGAGCATCCTTTGCTTGGGTGGACACCGGATTGTTCCCGAATTCTTTTTCCAAGAAACGGAGAACACATGTTTGGTGGGCAAATGCGAGACCATTTGGCTTCAGTTAACCTCAAAGCACCTAAAGTCCCGGCTCCGGCTTCCTACGCACCCATTTGAAGACCAGTTCACCGGCCAAAGTTGCCAAAAGAGCCCAAGATTGCTCTCTTGATAGACACCTGTTTCGGAGTCAATAGTCAATGTCCTATTTTGGAAGCGAGACATGAAACAACGAGATCCAGGCTCAACTGCCAGTCATCCCTAGAAATTGCCCCGTTTCAGCCTGATGCGGTCAGGTCGTTGAACAACGCACCTGAAACTTGATGCTTTGTCCGCGTGACCAAGTGTTTGTTGCATTTGCTGCCAATTGCCATAAGCCAAGCCGATGTTCAAGGTTGGTTGAGAAAAGCTAGGCCTGCGGCTGCGGCCCGCCAAAGAAAACGAGCGGGTCCACATTTTTCCACTTTGAAAACCGGCGAGCGCGGACACAAGCTGAAGAGGCATGTTTGGGTGCGAGTGATTTGGCCATGGTTGTGAGGGCCTCCGGGCGTTCTCTCCTTTCAGGTCCCTGGTTTGCTACTGTGGATGGGCGAAATCCAGTTGGACCCACAAAAGGAAGCCATGGTTGAAACCAGAACGTTTCTTGATATTTCTCGAAGGAATCGAATCCTTCCAGAGGGTTTCCTGGATGGTGCGAAATGGATTTCGCAACCATCCACAGTAAGTAACTCTTAGCTGGTGGTGTGGGATTTGAACCCGTGCCTTTTGGTAGGGTTAAGAGGAAAACACAAACGTTGAAGGCATTTTGGCCATGCGTTGATCTTGGGGGGAATTGTGCTTCCTTGCGGCCTTCCTTTATAAAGCGACCTGCCAACTAACCCAGTGGATCCATTTAGTGGCAGGAAACCAAGGGCTTGCCACCCTTCAAAGAAGTCAAGAGGAGAATGGATCGACCGGACCCGTTACCTACAACGGAATCTGAATCAACCACCAGGGGCTTGCCAGCCTTTCAAAACCAAAAGGAAGATGGCGAAGGGTTACCTACTATCAGGGCGAAACGCCTGGGATCCACTGGGTAACGTCCGGCCGCTTTTGTAGGCGCCAGCGCCAGACTGCGCCGCTCGGAAAGAAATGCTTTGGCCAGTAGAAATCTCTCACTGCCTGAGTTGGACAAACACAGATTCCTTTGAAACCGACAGGGGGAAAACTACACAAACCAAAGACATTCATCTCAGCAAGTGAACGTTGCTGGGCTCAGTGGTGCCAACTTTAGGGAAGGGCAATGGCTGGGTTTTTTAGGGAGGGCTCCTTTGGGGTTGGGCTTTCCGACCGGGCAACCTCAATGGCTTTGGGCATGGTATCGCAGATTTCGGGAGATTCGAAAACCACGGCACTGGCCCCTTGCGACTGTCTATTGGTTCAAGCCGGGTTCTAAATAGCTTTGATGTTGAGTTGCCAAATTCTCACTTGCCCCAGATGGGACCTAGAAATACAAGGTGAGCACATTTTGGGGTGACCAAGCATGGAGCCAAAAGGTCAAAAGGTCGAGTCGGCTTTGGGAATGTCTTTGATTTTTGTTGGTTGGTTTCTTAGTATTTACCCTCTCCACGTTGTCATGGCAAATCGGAGGTCCCTTGAAGAAAAAGAAGCATAATTCCAGGTAGGTGGCTCAGCTTCCCCTTGATCGGGGGCTCGGATTGGTCGAAGTGCAGGGACGCGTTAGGGACATTGAGCCCCAACATCAGAAGTTCAAACCCATCCGAAGCACCAATTCAGGGTATCCCTCTCCATCCGATCCGGAAACAGGCCCAAGAAAGCCCAGGGACGTTATTTAATCCATGAAGTCCAAGTCCAAAAGCTCAATCCGATTCCCCTTTGGGATTTCCGGGCAAAAAGGACAAGGTTGCATCAGCTTTTCTGGTTGGTTCACTTTGAAGGGTTGAGCCCTTCCCCCAAAAAAAGAACGATGAACAAAGTCGGCGAAATCCACTGGGCAATTGGGAAACTCCCAACACGCGTCACCCAAATGGCAGTACTCGAGTCTCACTCCCGGCCTGCCAACCAGTGGCTTGAGCCATCCAGAAATGGGTGTCTTTGAGGGTACGCTAGAAAAAGGTGGTGTTCCCCTTGGAGTCCCCATAAAACTAAGAATTGTCGCGGGTGGAGGGTCAGGAAAAGTTACTTAACTTTTGGGGCTGGACTTGTTCTCCCTTTGGATTTGTGGGAGGGTACCTGGAAGACAAGTTTCCTCAAGGGACCTCCTATGGCAACGTGGGGAGGGGAAATGATATAGAAGTCGGCCAAAAGATGAGGGGTTCGAACAAGAATGCAACTTCCCACGTTTGCGCCGAGGCTTTGCGACAGCGGCTTCGGCGAGATGCCACAACTCATCATCCCCGAGTCTGCGCCGGTGACAGCCGCCTCGCTGAACCACGACCTGGCCTCCACGATTGCAGCCGCTGAGACGGCCTGGGGACGGCTGGCTTTCTGTGTGCTCCGGGGGGGGGGGGGGGAGTTGGTCTTCTGCAGGGAATGAGGGAAGGACCCGTGTGAACCATTTTTGTATATTTTTGTATGGTTTCCTTTCGGGGAATCCATAGATTCATACCCTGGGCCAATCCCTACTGAGCACCAGCAAGGTAAACACTCGCTCCCCAAAGTCATGGACTTCAAACTGTTTGGAGCATTTTAGTGCTAAATGCACACGGGACTTTTCTTGGCCAGTTCACGCAGGAAGCGAGGACAGCTGTGGTATGGGGGTGTCATACACAAGATGGTAGACGACTTTCAGGCTCCCTTTCAGGGACAGAAGTAATCCAACCAGTTTGGGGTTCCCCGATTTGGAGAATCAGGTAGTACAGGATGTAAGGGAAGTAAAGGGTCTTTGTTGCCCTGGTGGTGCCCTTTTTTCTTCCTTTTTGGGTGAAGGGTTCCCCTTTAAACTCAACCAAGAAAAAAGGGTGCCCTTTTCCGATGGACACTGGGCATCTCAGGGATATCAGGGGATCTAGTTCCATAAGTCTATTCATAGTTGGGGGTATAAAGGAGGTTGCTGGCCACATTTTCAGGGTAACGCCGCATGATGTTAGGTTCCTACCAAGGCGCCACAGGCGTATGGATCTCCTCGCCTGTGTTTCTGGTATGTGTTCTGCCTTTTTGTTGGCAAGCTCACCGATCCGGGGTAACACGAGTGAAAGCCATGATAAAGGAAGGCCCTTTACCTGAATTCAGCTTGTGGAATTATAGTAATTACAGTTTGCAGAAGTGTCGCTTTTTGACCATTTTGTTGAGGTTTGAAGCAGGGCTAGGCCAACCTCCCTGTTTTTTTTTATCGTGTTCCGCACGCATCTTGTTGTCACAGCCTTCGTTTGGGTTCCCCTCTTTTTTGTGGCACCATTTGAAGCCACAACCCGGCAACCTTAGCGAATGTGGGTATGGCTCAAAATTCAAGAGCTGGTTTTAGAGCCATACCCACATAGCTCTAGTCTTTAGTAAATACCCGGTTAGGCGGGTTTTAGTCTTTAGTTCCATTTGCCAGGGTGATCTACCAGGGTGCCATTCTGGTACCACTTTTTTGACAGCCATGTGCCTGAGGTGCACATCCGGAAGAACCTGACTCTGCAGAGGCTCGGAGGTTACGGTTGCCTGGTGGCCATCTGCATTGGTTCTGATTCGCTTGCAACCAAAGAGAATTGGTCTATGGACCGTTTCGTTTCCTCTTGGTTCCCAGTTTCTGCTCATGTTCCCAGAAGGTCAAGCTTTTATTTATTTCCCTGATGTAGTGTCTCGTTGGGGTCATGGCCCCCCGTTTTGGTCAACCCATGCTTCTTAGATTCTTGTGTGTGAACTTGGGCTTTCGTGAGTTTTTTGATCCAAATCCAGCGATTTATGTTTTTCGGAGATCCATGTTTTTTCTTGCCTCCGCAGGAGCATCGTTCAACTTAGATCCGGTGCCGGAGCTGTTGCGATGCTGCTACATTCGGGGATAACTGAAGAGCCAAGTTGCGCTGTGGCTCCAAGCCCATAGCTGTCCTGTTGATCGGTTAGCTTGGCTGGAAATAGATCGGCTTCACTGGTTTAGATAATAGATCGGCTGGTTTAGATTACCAGGAAAAAGCAAATATTTATTTACCACAAGGACGCTTTTGACTGAAGGGGGATGTGGTCGTAATGAGTTACACAGATTTCAGCCTTCCCCTTTTGGAGGGGTACACTCCCCTATTAGCAGGATTGGTTCATTATTCTGGGGTTACCTTTACAATGTATGGATCACGGGAGCGCAGACCTTTTGGGTTCCTCGTCCCTTCAGTGTTTGAAGAGGCACGTCATTTTGGGGGAAAAACCATGGGCAGTTTTGCTTGTTTTTGCTTTTTTCTTCTGAGAAGGGGTTCGGGAGGCTGTAGTATGTGATATCCCGGGTTACTATCAAATAACCCTTCCCTGACTGTTCATGGATTGTTTTTAGCAGTGACATACTCGCATTCCTTGGCAATGTAAAAAAACAAACAAGGTTCCCCAACGAAGGAAGTTGCAGTTCACTGCCTAGGTTCTCCAGTAGTGCCCTTTTACCCTTTTTTGGGGAGGGTTCCCCTACTAAACTAGACTACAGAAAACAGTTGGCACCAACTTATTCTAACGAACCTCTACCGGACCTTATTCTAACCTGTCTACTGGAGGACCCAGCTGCTTTGGGAGAGAACCGGCTGAGCGCTTCGTAAAACCGGGCTCCAAGGGCTCCGGGCTCCAAGAAGCCAAGCGCTAAGCGCTGACCTGGCGATCGCCGCCCAAAATTTCTTCGGGGAGGCTGGCGCCTAAAGACCCCCGGACACGGTTTCCGCGGGGCACATGTTGGGGTTCCTTCCGGTGATTTCCAGGGGAAGTAGAGGATGAAACTTGCGGACATGAATATGTTGTCCATCGGCCCCTGCTGGTTTTGAAGGGAATGGAGATGTCACTACTGGACATATGTATATTTTTCCAGGGGGCGAGAAACCAAATGGAAGTAGGCAGCAGGCAGATTTCCGGGTGTCATTTGCCTGCCCTGTCTACTTTTGCCCTGCTCTCTCTTGGCAAGGCGCATGGCGGGCTTGCTGGAGTGGCGATCCACGACCACGGCTGGGGAACCAAATTCCATGAACCAAGGCGGTCTGCTTTCTGGGCATGTTGTCTTATTTCGCTTAGGTTCGCTTGTGCTTGCCTGCTTGCTTGCTCGCTCGCTCGCTCGCTCGCTTGCTCGCTTGTTTTCGGTTGCCTACTTCTAGCGGTGGTTTGCTTGCCTTCGCCAGGAGTTGCCTGGAGACTAGACATATCGGGACTTAGGACAGCTGCTTTATCTTGGCGGTTCCCAGCCCTCCCCTTTGGTTTGTAGGTTGCTCAGGGTTTGGTGGAGGCTTCCCTTTAGCCCAGCAAAAGTTTGGCAGGGGAGCAGTTTGGACAGCCCAGTTGTCAGGTCACGCGCCGGACATCTTTGTTTCCTTGATAGAAAATCCCCCATTTGATCAGTGGCGCCAACAGAAGCAACACCGTGCATGCGGCTGTGGACATTTGCCACCCGGCACTCTGTCTGGTTGCTGGTGAAAGCTTTGCTTTTTTTCAGTTGCTGGGCATTGGGGAGAGACTACGTGTGTATGCTTCTCCATATGTTGGATCCCTTGTCCTTTTGGTTTCGCTCTTTCTCAGAACGATTGCCAAACCTTAGCTCTTAAACAAAAAAAAATGTTTGCCTTTGTGGGTGTCCTCCATTGTTTTATTTATATAAACTATAGCAACGATATTTTAACTTTAGGGTTTGCCAGACTTATCCTTTTAGCCTTTTAGCCTTGTGGACCTTTTGCCTTTTTGGGTGTGCTTCATTGTTCATTTCAACCAGAAGTCTTAGATTCGGGTTTCTAAGTCTGACCGGGGTCCGACGAGTGCATTTTGAGAGACTCCCTTGCTAGAATCCCGGCTCATATAGCTGAGGTCAGCAAGCTGCAGTACGACATCGCGCGGGAGGAGCGAAATCGAGCCCGGTCAGTTCCATCAGGCCCTCAATTGGCCCTCAATTTGGGTGTATCGTTTAAGAGGTGGGTTTAACAGGAAAACAACCATGAAGACCACTATGTTGGACAGCACACCCATGTCTCCTTTGTTGGACCTTCCAAAGTGGCAAGTTTGTTGGAACCCATCAGGAACATGCAAGTTTTGCAGGCGAATTCCAGCGACGCCTGTCTTCAAAGCACCTCTTTTGCTTTTTCAGTGTCTCTTGGGCCAGTCAAAGAATCATCCCCCAAAACAGCAGGAGGTGTTTAGCGTTTTCAGAGCCAATCAAATCAATTTCCAAAAGCTATGGCGTTTCTCGAGAAACAACAGCATGTTTGCCCCATGAGATTGGTCAGTCGCTCCCTGAAAAACATTCTGCCCGGTTCAGCTCCTATAAGCAGCAGGAGCCAGTTCAAAGTTCAAGAGTCACTTGTGCCAGCTGATTTAGATGATCCCCCTACGAAGCGCTAGTTTTTGGATGGACTTGCAATCAAGTCAGTGTCCAACAATTTGACACTGGCGCTTATGGCGCCGGGTTTGCCTTTTCCATTGTTCAGTGCCAACCCCACCGTCGCAGTCTCTGCTTGTACTTGAAGACTTGCCCGAAGCCGACCTTTACAGGATATCAGAAAGGCCCAAGCCGACATTCAAAAGGGAATCCAGATCAAAGCTCCAAAGCAGAAGGAAAGAAGAACTCACTTGCCCACGGCGAAATCCAAACTTTTCAACCTGTTGGTTTCCCCAAGCCTTGTATCTTTCCGGGTCCCATCCGGGGCAAGAGCATGCGAGAGCCATCCAGTCACGCGGGGAGGAGAGCCCAGACACGCGGGTAGCCGCAGCCTCAGAGCCTCGGAGCCTCAGAGCCTCGGAGCCTCGGAGCCTCGGAGCCTCGGAGCCTCAGCGGGAAGCCCCGCGGTGGTTGACCCCAGTTTGCCCAGTGGATTTTGCCAACCTCTTCCGGTGGTTCCGCGATAATTGCAAGAAAAGTGGTGGTGGTGGTGCAGAACTTTTTGTTTGCCCAGTGGTGCGCAGTTGCCTTTTTTTTGGAAGGATTCGTCCCTTCAAAGTCAACCAACCAAAAACAAAATGCCTTTTTTTCCCCACGGCCACTGGGCATCTGAGTGACGGACTAAAGAATACCCGTCGAACATGGAGGGTCAGAGGGTTCTTCGAGGAACATTATGACTCCACAATTAACCCCCGGTCAGGTTCATTGTCAGTGGGAGTGTGTTTGACCGTTTTTTGAGCCTTGCCAGACATGGATCCATGTTTATGTCTGGATGGGGAAGTGGTTGCCACCATGAATTGTTTGCGATTGATTAACAAAGCCCCCCCACCCCCAACAAATTGAGGGGACATAAAAGGGACAACCGCTGAAACTCTCCGGGGTCAAAGCTTACCCCCCCCCCCCCCCCCCCAAGTAATCTATTAAACCTGGGATTTTCCATCGGACCCACACCAAGTTAAACGTTGTTTTTGCACTCAGCATCAATCGTGAACTTGCCCAGTCTCGAGTCACGTGCCAGGCACAAGAACTGTGGCTAACGTTTGAGAGGTACACACCATAGATCTTTTCGCAGAGGGGTCAACAGCAACCAAGAAGCTTCCAGACATCGGAGGGGCCAGTAGACCGCGCGAGCGATTTGAACATCCCATTCTTTGGTTTCAAGCCTACGGCCCTTTTAATTGGAATGGGGCTGCGTGGGTCATCACATGTTTAAGTCTTTCGCTTCTTATATCACCAGCAGTTGACTGGTGGGAGACCAGCGCCCAAACCCAGCAAATGTCGGTTTCGAGAGGTTTTGCTTGTCTTACCACTCTGGGGGTTGGTTTAAAGGAAAAACCAACAAGGAAAGCCACCATTTGCAGTGTCCCCTGTTTAGACACATTCCCATGTGTATTTAATCCTTGTATTCCGCGGATTTCTCCCACGTTGTGATTTGGGGATTTGAAGCCCCACGTCACCACCTAAGGACCCGATTTGGTTTCCCCATTTTGACCCGTATCCCAAACCACCAATCCAGACCACAGTTCTAGGGGTGGATTCCAAATCCCCATTCTTCTCCACCATCCTTCTTTTCGAACAACCGGCCCTCTCCCCCGGGGTTTTTGACGGTTTCCTGGAAAGAATTTCGGATCCCTGGGTTCAGACTGGAAATGGAAGGCCCCCAGTGAAGCTATCACCACTGAGGAAGAGCCGGATTTCTCCATGCTGTCCAACCCCCCCGCCCCTGCCCCCCGCCAAACCCATCCCCCCGAGAGCTGGCGCTCGTAGGCCTGGCTCCGCGCGGAGCTCGAGGAGGAGCGGCTGAAAGGGGAGCAGGAGCAAGAGGAGCACCGCGGCCATCGAACATCTCGAGCCCGCCGACCGACTTTTTTTTGGCGAGCGGTTTCACCGATTCCGGGAATTGTTGTTTGATTGTTTTTTTTGTTTGGCGAGCGAAAATCACGGATTTCGGGGAAAGCGAGCGAAAGCCGGAGCCTTTGACCTGGTGGTTGTTAGGGCCCGATCTTGTCTTTTTCCAGACGCTCGCTTCGGCTTCCAATGGCTCCGTTGGACACCCTCTGGGGGGTTTTGGGGTCTCAAAACCTGGCTGTTTGAGGGCCCAACAAAAAAATGGAGCGTCTGGGTTGCGAGTGGTTCCGAGCGAAAGCCAGGAATAAATGGTCCCTTATAAGTGAATATCAGGTTTGTCTAGCCCGGAAACCTTGGGCCGGTGGTTGTTCTTTGGGGGGTGTAGGGCCCTGCCCTCTCGACCGCTATCAATGGGACCCTAGCGACCAAGTAGCCATCACCGTAATTCTCCCGAGCTTCTGGTGAATCGAAGGGTGAAAAAACGGCCCAAATCGACCGGATCCGACCTTTGGGATTTCTCAAAATTGGCTCTGGGTCAAAAATAGGGCAACCCCAAAATGGCTTGCCCTGGTAAATCGAAACATGGACCAAATTCCTGCGGTCCAATTCCTGGTTGCATTTTGAGTCCCATACTCAAATTTGGCTTAGCTTCTCATCCCAAAAAGGGTGCAACTTGTGTTTCCAGGTCCGAAAGGCGTTTTGTTCCTTGCAGCTTAGGGATTCCTAGGGTTCTGAGAGCTTTGGGAAAATTTGAGCTTCCTTCAGAACCCAAGGCCTGGGGTAGAAACTGGGGTCTATAGAGTGCCCATGTTTGGTTTCTGTTTTAAGGGGAAGTTTCAAAGGGACACCCACAACCAACTTTTGAACAAGCTTCGTTCAGGTTTCCTTCGCGCGTTTCCTTCCCAAGGTTTTTTGCGGGTTTCCTTGGGTTTCCGCGCAGGTTTCCACACTTCAAGATACTTCAAGTTTCCAAGTTGTTCGCGGCTTTCCGGGCTTCCAAGTTTTCCATGGGTGTCCCGCGGGTTTCCTGCGAGTTTCCTGCGGGTTTTCTGCGGGTTTCCGCACTTTTCCTTCCCAAGGTTCCACGATTTCCACGCAGGTTTCGGCTTTCTTTCTGGGAAGCCAGTGTTTTTTTTGACACCAGTTTTGGGGGGGTCTTCCCCAAAAAAAAGCGGCACTTGGCCCGGGAAATTCGCTCACTTATGGCCACGTGCCTAGGTACGAGGATCAGATTGCGCAGCTGCAAGAGACACTTGCCACGAGGGCAATGGCCATCTTTTTAGTGGGGATTTTTGCAACCTCCGCAAACAAAGAGGGAAACGGAGATTCACTGAACATGGGGGGTGCCCATGGTGCTTTTCTTTCTCCAGCAATCATTAGAGTGGACATCTTGAAACGGCTTCTCGTCCACTTCCATGATGATTGGAACTGCATGCTATATTTGTTTGCTCCTCGCGCTAAGTGGGAACCGGCCGATATATTATTGTTATGCCAACCTGTAATTAAGACAGTGGTAAGTTTGCAGCTGTGCTTCCCACCATGTTTCTTATGGAGAACCCCGGTTCTTATACTGTACTTCTCATTAGTTTGTTCATGGAATTGTGTTTCATACATTGGCGAGCACATGGAAAATGAATCAACTTGTCCAGTCGTGTTGCCCCTAGTTTGTGAGGGATCTGTCAGTCCGCAGCTGTGTTTGCGGATTTTGGCTTGGTTCCTAGTTCCGTGATACCTGAAAAGGAGCTTTTGCAAATGAAGCGCTACCTCGTCCACCAAGATGGTTCGGAACCCTATGCGGCAAAACGGGTCTTTAATTGCAGACACTCCCACCCACTAATCTTGGTCCAGGGGGTTCGCAGCCATTCCCTAATATGTTATTGTTGTGGGCCTGTGGGGTTTACTGGAGGTTTTGATTTAACCCATCAAAAGTTCCACTCTTGGCAGGGGATCTAAGGACAGCCCAAGAACCACTCACTGATCACCCACCGACATCCAGCCATCCGCTAGCCTGGTCCCTTGCTTTCCTCAAGGGAACTTGTTAAACGGCAAACCCAGGTTTTGGTGGCAGCTACAACCATAATTGCTCCTTTGCAAAGTAGCAGAGTAGCATGGAACCCAAAATGGGATTCCCTCCAAAAGGAGATTCCTCCACAAATGGGTGTCTCTCAAAATGTTGGATCCGTCCAGGGAGGGTTGTTTTCTTTTGGTTACCCTTTCAAGCCATCCAAGAAGGGGTCCTATTTTGAGAAACCACCAAAAGATGGCTGTTGGGGGATGTTAACTTGGGCGCAAACAAGTATGGAAACGGCCGAGCTTTTCCGCTGGCTCACCACTTGCAATAGGGCAACAACGAGAGTGGGTCAGCATTTTCACGGGTCTAAAGAGGGCAACTTACTCAGGGCTCCTTAAAAGATACATTTTGTCCATTTGAAACATGGCTTTTTCCACCAAAATAAAGGGACACCACCATTCACAAGGCAATGTGCAGGTGTTTTTCATGTAAGGATCCCTGTTACTGACTTTCCCCACACTTGCCCGGGGAGTCTCGCTGTTTCAAGAACCTTCGCTTGAAACGGGGGCCTCATTGTTGTTGCTCAGGTTTCGTTGGGGGATCCCAGCGTACTGAAAATTCCCCATCTTTGGCTTTCCCACAAGGAAGCCAAGATGACTAGCATGTCCTCACAGAACTCCTGGTGTCTCCGAAAGGCTCCCTCTTAAAAAGCGAACTTGGATATTTGCAGCTCCCTGGCCATCAGCTAGACTGAGGCATGGTCGTTGTTGGGAAACATTGTTCCCATTTTTGCTTATTGTGGCTTAGTGGTTGAAATCCAACCACTTAACTGCTCAAATCTGAGAGTTGTTGCTCCCCAAACCCAACGTCAACCAAGTTTGAAGTCGTTTGAACATGGCCGGATTGGCGGATTGGCCACACTTAGCTGCTGAAATTGTTTTTTTGCTCCCCAAACCCAACGTCAACCAAGATCCCTCATAAAAAAAAAAAAAAAACAGAGCAAGCTTGGATATTTGCAGCTCCTTGGCCATCAGCTAGACTGAGGGGTGTTCATGTTAGATTTTGTTTCCACCTGGCCTATCTCCGAGCCCTCAAAACCCCTTGGAGGATCGAGTCCGCCAGATCGCAACCGATCGATCGCTCGATCGCTGCCAGTCTCGTCCGAAAAACATAGGTGTCCTTTTTGGCTGTTTTGGTCGAACAATGGATGGCCCATAAGAATGGTTTCGACCATGGGGTCTTAAATGGTTTCTCATTTTTTGTTGGTCATAAATAGATGGCCCATATTTCTATCACTGACTTATTTTGGTTTACCTGGTGGTTTAATCATCTACCAGGGCCATCTTTTTGCCCCAAAGGGACACCTACTGTTAACCCCGGATTCATAAACGCCTGGTTGATTTTGTTCAGGGTCCCGGTGTTCCCTTTTAGTAGTTGGACTCAGACCACTTTTGGAGGGAACACCCCCCTCTTCTAGTGGGACGGGTCTACCTAGAGTCTCCATGACTAGAAAAAGGGGTCAACCATTTTTAAAGGGTCAGAAGGAGACTTGGGGCTAAATAATCAGTGGGCCAAAAAACCTCCGAGCTTCTTCTTTCCGACTAAAGTTCGGGAACTCAGGGAGCGAGATAGCATGATATGCCTGGTACTTAGATCCTGGCCGATAGTTGGTTTTATTAACCATCAATATATATATATATATATATATTTTAATAATGTATTATAATATGATATAACATAATATTTAGCAACAATCGGCCAAATTCCGGGCCCTCAGGGCCCTTGGAGGAGTCCAAGGGCCCTCCTGCCAAAAAGTCGCTCGCTCGCTCGCTCGCTCGCTCCGAGGAAGGTCCACCAGCTCCGCAAGTCCGCGTCCCCTCCAAAGTCCCCGAGCCGCTCGCGGGCCTCCGCACCTCGTCATTTCAGGGCTGTGGTTGGTCACTCAGAGTTTCTCCAACCACCGTGATACAAGGGAATCCCCCTTGCAAAATAAACCAGGTAGTCTTAAGCCCTTTTTGTGGTATCACAGAAGTGGTCATTCCCCCTTGAACATTAACCAGGTAGTCTTTGGGAAGCCCTTTTTGTGGTATCACAGAAGTGGTCAATCCCCCTTGAAAATTAACCAGGTAGTCTTTGGGAAGCCCTTTTTGTGGTATCACATACAGAAGTGGTCATTCCCCACAGCCCTGTTCGGTTTTGTGAGGCAGCTTTCTTGGCGTAGCAAGCCTTTTCAAGGGAGAAACTTGATCTTTTGTCACTTGATTGATAAGCCCCGGAGAAAGCCGTCGGTTTTGTTTGGCAGTTTTCTTCAGGGGGGGGGGGTTTTCTTCGAACCACCATGCCCCGGATGAAGACATGCCTGTTTAACTAGGTTTCGGGGTCAGCCTTTTTTGGACCAATGGGGGCCTTTTTGCCACCTGTGGAAAAAATCTGATCGACCCCCTTGTAGTGAAGCATTCCTTGTTGAGGGGGTCGCCAATTTTCTCACAAGGTGGCAAAAAGCCCTGGTTTTCTTGGCGTAGCAAGCGTTTTGAAGGGAGAAACTTGATCTTTTGCCACTTGCTGATTGATCAGCCCCTGGCTGATTAATAGCAGGCGAAGTTGTTCACTGTTGGGATAAATTCTCCGTTCTTCAAAGCGAATCGACCTTTTGACCTTATGGCTTTCCCTTGGTCCATGTTTGGCGGCGGTCCTGGAAGGTGAACCTGTTATGTCCAGGTAGTGAGCAGGGAGGGGCTGTGCATGTGCCCATGCGTTTTCCCATCCCAAACGGCCCTGGAGAAAGCATGCGAAGGCTTTCGGCTTTTTTCCTCAGGGCTTGTGCAAGTGTTTATGCTTTTATCCCATGGCCGCTTGAGCAGCTGAACCAAAATCCTTTTTGCATGCCAAGCGCAAGCAACACCCTGCCTGGCGTAAGCCGGCATAAGCACCTTTTGGGGAAACCTAGCTCGCCTGACCGCTCGAACACTCCATGATGCCACAACAGCCGTTCCTTGATTTGCGGTGGAGGCAACACCAACTCCGGAGGCGAAGGTGTCGTGCAAATCAAAAGCGCTGAGCAAGAGGGCTACAATGCGAAAACCCCCACAAAGAGCAACGGCAAGGAACTCCAGGTGCCAATTCCAAACAAGGCTCCATGTCTTCTCCATGCATTGAAACATCCAAATCAGCTTCGAGTATTACACTCAATGGGATTACACTCCAAGAAAGCCATGACCATAGGCCCCATACTCGCTTGCCCAAAGCCGCCTTGTTGACCTGTTGCATTCCCCTGTTAAGCTTCCCCCCCAAAAGGTTATTTCACCGTTCTTTGCAAATTGCTGTTTTAATTTGCTTGGCTCTGTTTTTTTTTTTTTTTGGTAGGGGGCGGCAAAAACAAAGTGTTTTTTTCTTTTTTGCTAACCATACCAAGGGTTGTGAAGGTTAACCTCGTATTTTTCGGGTCCTGCGGGCAAGTAAGCGAGCAGCGGCTTGTAATCACTGCAAGTAGTGTTTTGCCGGACTTGTTGTGGTCTCCACGGCACGGCGTGAGCATTACCGGTAGTACCCAGGGGAATTTGAACCGCCTCAATTTTGATTGCCCGACCAGGTCTTGTACTGTCCGAGCCGCCTTGCAGCGAAAAGGCCCCGAACCGTTTTTAATCAAATGAAACGGTTAAGACGAAAAAGGGAACTGCAAGAAAAGGCCCCGAACTACCAACAGAAAAACACTGCTCAAAACCACTGCTCTTTTGTTTTATTTTAGGCTGCAAAAACAAAGTGTTTTTTGCAAACGATACCAAGGGTTGCGAAGGTGAACCTTGTATTTTGGGGTCCTGTGGGCAAGCGAGCAGCGGTTTTTAAGCAAACAGTTGGGTTTATTCCAACACCCTGAACCACCAACAAAACAACAAGACACCACACAAAAACAAACATGGAAGGGTGTATATAATCCCCGGACCAACGAAGAAAAGCCCACTAACCACCGCTCCAGTGAGCCTCAGTGAGCGCTCGTCAGCTTCCGAGTCGCCCCGGGCGTCGCCCCACGCAGGCGCGCTTCTTCGGCGCGAGCCTGGCGGAGCGCTTCTCGAAGCACGAGAAAGACGAGGCCAGCGCCAGCGAGGCGCGCAGCCGAAAGACCGAAGCAACCGAAGCCCGCGGAGCCGCAAAGATTTGAATTTGAACCCGACGGAGAGGAAGGCCCTGACAAGCGCATTTGTTTTTTTTTTGGGCGGGTGGTCCAAAAAGGGCCGGCCTTAAAAAACTGGCCGATTTCCGAGAGCGTTTTGCGGGCTGGCGATCCCTTCTTGTTTGGTGTTTTGTTTGTGGTTTTTTCTTTTTTCTTTCCAAAGAGGCCAACAGGAAAAGCACGGTGTGACTTTAGGAGCAAACTCACGTGTGGTTTTTCAACTGCCATCATGGGAAAAGCGCTTGTTGTTTTCCGAAATGTTTGTAAGAGACATCCTTTCGGTGGATTTGGCCATTTTCTACTGGATTTGTCACCTCCAACGTCTGAAGCGCCCGTGCCGCCGACGCTTTGCGGGGGAGATGGGAGATGCAGGGTGCCAGATCTTCACTGCCAGGGTCTTCTTGTTTGGGAGGGCGAGGTTGCTAAGCGCAGTCACATCTGTTGAGTGCCAATTTGTGGGTTTCATTGTTCCAACTTGCATGCGTACAGGTTGCTCTTTCTCGTCATCTCTCTCCCTCTCGCTCTCTCTCTCTCTCCCCTCTCACTCGCGCTTTCTCTCTCTCTCTCTCTCTCTTCTGACTCTCTGACTCTCTTTCTGTTCGGGGCTGCATTCTGGTCTCCTTTTTGGTTCCAGCAAAGAAGGGTACCCACAACCAAAAAGACGGACCCGTCGATTTGATTTTCCAAAACGGCGCCAGCCGATGCGGAGGTGCTCAGTGCCAGCCCCTCCAGGCGAGATGAGCAAAAGGGAGCGAATGGCTCGGAACCAGAAAGGCGAACCGCCTGTTTGCCCCTTTTGCTCACTGCCTGAGTTCTTGGTGCCTTGACTCACTTTTTGGAAAAGACCACTTTTGTTGGGGTTTCAACCTGATTCCTGGAGTTCATGTGTCCTTGACTCACTTTTTGAAAAGATCATGTTGGTTGGGGTTTCAACCATATTCCTTGACTCACTTTTTGAAAAGATCATGTTGGTTGGGGTTGCAACCTGATTCCTTGAGTTCATGTGTCGTTTACTCACTTTGGAGAGGATCTTTTTGGTTGGGGTTTCAACCTGATTTCTGGAGTTCATGTGTCCTTGACTCACTTTTTGAAAAGATCATGTTGGTTGGGGTGTCAACCTGATTCCTGGAGTTCATGTGTCCTTTACTCACTTTTGAGAGGATCTTTTTGGTTGGGGTTTCAACCTGATTTCTGGAGTTCATGTGTCCTTGACTCACTTTTTGAAAAGATCATGTTGGTTGGGGTTTCAACCTGATTCCTTGAGTTCATGTTGCCTTTACTCACAAAAAAAGGAAAACATTTTGGTTGGGGTTTCAACCTGATTCCTTGAGTTCATGTGTGTTTGACTCACTTTTTGAAAAGATCATGTTGGTTGGGGTTTAAACCTCATTCCCTCAGTTCATGTTGCCTTTACTTACTTTTTAAAAATATCATTGTGGTTGGGGTTTCAAGCTGATTCCTTGAGTTCATGTTGCCTTTACTCACGTTTTGGAAAAGACCACTTTTGTTGGGGTTGCAACCTGATTCCTTGAGTTCATGTGTCCTTGACTCACTTTTTTAAAAGATCATTTTGGTTGGGGTTTAAACCTCATTCCCTCAGTTCATGTTGCCTTTACTTTTTTTTTGAAAAGATCATTTTGGTTGGGGTTTCAATCTGATTCCTTGAGTTCTTGGTGCCTTTTCTCACTTTTTGGAAAAGATCAATTTGGTTGGGGTTTCAAGCTAATTCCTTGAGTTCTTGGTGCCTTGATTCACTTTTTGGAAAAGACCACTTTTGTTGGGGTTTCAACCTGATTCCTGGAGTTCATGTGTCCTTGACTCACTTTTTGAAAAGATCATGTTGGTTGGGGTTTCAACCAGATTCCTGGAGTTCATGTGTCCTTTACTCACTTTTGAGAGGATCTTTTTGGTTGGGGTTTCAACCTGGTTCCTTGAGTTCGTCTGTCCTTGACTCACTTAAACCTCATTCCCTCAGTTAATGTTGCCTTTACTCACTTTTTGGAAAACATCATGTTGGTTGGGGTTTAATCCTGTCTCCCCGAGTTCATGTTGCCTTTAATCACTTCTGGTTTGGACCATTTTAGTGGTATTGGACAACAAGTTCCGTGACTTTTGTTGGCAAGTCCACTCAGGAAGTGAGTTTTGGTCGGCAAACAATGCTGAGTTCCTTTTTGCTTGGCAGGCTTAGTGGGACGCCACTCGGGTTCACCACACATCCTGAACCAGCTTCCAGGGTTCCTTAACTATGAGATATATCTCAGGACCCGTATGCCCTTCTTCAAAAACAATCCTTCGACTTAGCTTAGCTTGGAGGACAGGGGCATGTCCCTGGGCACCTGAACTCGATGGAAGAGGATCGAAGAAAAAAAGGCGTCTAGGAACCTTACACCCCTCCAAAGACTACATTGGATAACCGGTTCTTGCATAGCTATGTTTCCAACAAATAAATGGAACCTTCAGGAATGAACAAGTTGTTGTTGCAGCCTTAGGGTCAATGCACCTCTGGAAGGGATGATTGGTTTCTGAAAGGGTCAAGAGAGCAAAACCGTTTGCACAACCCTATGCCACTACCAACTACAGTGGTAGAACCCTGTAATGTTGGCGGACCCGGATCAAGAACTCCATCCTACCAAACTCAGTCACCCACGCAAGTGAACAACCATTTGCAAATGGTAGCTTTTGCTATGAATAGACCTACTTGATGGAGCAGTTTGAGAAGCCACCAATTGTAAATGGTTGTTTCAGTTTTCAATTTAATTGGCCAGCAGGGTTTTTTGGCGTTTGCAGGTCTTCTCTTCAGAGAGGCTCCGCAATCTACGAAGACCAGGCGCGGGCTAACAGGTGGCGTTGCATGTCAATCGCCCATGCTTCCCATGAGGTGGAGGCCAAAACCAAATATTGCAAGTAAGAACACAAGTTGACACAGGGCTCCTTAAAAGATACATTTTGCAACCATTTGAAACATGGCTTTTTCAACACCATAATAAAGGGAAACCACCATTTACAAGGCAATGTTCAGGTGTATAATGTAAGGATCCCTGTTGAAACCTTGTTTTCAGTCATTGTCCCTGGCGTTTTTGTTTTGTTTGTTCAGCCGTTTGCTTGGTTTTCTTGTTCGGTCCTTAGGATCGGGTCCCGCTTTTTCTTAGGATCTTGGGGACTGGGTTTGGGTCTGACGCGTTCCCAGGGAGGTTTCCAGGGCTGCTTTCGTTTCGGGTCGGCGTGTCGCCCAAGAATCTTCTGGAGCACATAGCCAGGGTCCGAAAACCGAAAACCTGAGTCCATTCTGGACTAAAGGTCACTGGGGTTTGGTTGTCATTTTAGTGGCCAACAGTAGTGGCAAACAACAAGTTAGGTTTCCGTTGCCTTTTTTCGCCCGAGTCCACTCAGGAAGTGAGTCAAAAGAGCTCGAAAACGAAGCGGCTTGGTGCTTGGAACTTCCGGGGGAAAGTTGGCGCGTTGCGAAGCACCCGTACCCTCCGAGTTTCGATACTCATTGGTTGGTTTTCCAAAGAAACATCACAAAGCCCTACGAATTGTGTTTGTGCCTTTTGGAGGGATCCACCCATTGAAATCAAGTAAAAACGAAGGTTTGCTTTTCCAAATTGTTTGGAACATCCGCTTTTGGGCCACTTTTAAGATGAGCTTCGTGTTGCTTCGGGTGGTTTGTAAAGGGAAAGACGTACCTGGACCCTCAACATATCCTCCAACATGGGTTCTATCCCCAAAGTTATGGGGTGACGTCCCTTTTTATTGTGGCATTTTGCTTGCATGTTAGGACTTTAACTTAACTTTTCGCCAAATGGGTTTTCCAGTAAACCACGAAAAGTTAAGCTTCTAGCAGGGGAGCAGATTTCGCAACCGAGTTTTTGCATGGGTTTGAGGGAAGAAGTCCTTCTCGGAGACATGTTCTTCCTGTGGCTGGGGGTTTCGGGAAGCTGACAGCCGGAGGTGGGGGCATCGGCTTCGGACCAGTTGGGCACTGAGGGCGGGTGGGTTTGTGGATGTTGGGAGGGATGTGGAGCCCTGATTAATAACCTGGGACTGCTGACATCACGCTGTCCCCCCAAAAAAAAGAAATATATGAATCAGGTGCGTTTTTTTTGGACGAATGCAATCTAAAGTCATTAAAATGTGTTTTTAATTCATAACTGGGGGTTTATGAATCAGGTGTGTCCGCAAACTCATCCCAAAGCAAGCCGCCCTTCTATAGGGGTCACTGGATTCCCCCTGGAAAAGTTGATCAATTCGAGTGGCTTCCATTGAACCGTTCGCCCCTTTTGGAGTTCCAAACAGGTAGATGACTCGAAAACCCTGGCTTAAGTTTGGTCTATTTGGTGGTTGGAAGGGAGCCAAGGAGCTGGGGCTATCCAAATTTGCCTTTCAAGAGGGAGCTGACCTTTTGGTTGGTTTCCCGGATTTGGTCATGTTTAGTCCAGGCCTTTTTCTGGGTCCAAATTGGGCTTGCGTGTGTTAAAGCCCCAGGATTCTAATTGGGAGATGGTGCCTAGCATGGAGACTGCAGGTAGGTACATATCCCCCGTACCGATATGAAGATAATTGTGCCATCATCTAGTAATAGGGGCCAAAAAAGTCCCTCTCGAATGCAACACCTCCCTGTACATCGACGCGGTTGGTTTTTCGACCTGGGAAATGACATGCGCACCCGCGCACTTAATTCTGTGTGTCAGGCGCGTTGGGTGAGGTCTGGGTTTCTCTAAGATTGGTTGTTGTGTCCTTTTCATGTCCTTTCAACAAACCTGCTAAGGGTACCCATGGTACCCTCTTGAGTCGCAAGACAAAAGTTTCACCCGCCAGAGCGAGTCAACCGGGAGCTGCGGTTTTGCTTTTGCGTATCGGCGCAGCCCTGGGAGCTGCGCCGAGACGCTGGCCGAATGCAACAACAGAATTAATCATCACCGTTCTTGGCATGTTTTTGGTTTTTTAGTTTTTTTGGTTATGTTCATTTTATTGGGGTCTGCAAAAACAAAGTTTTTAGCTACCATACCAAGAGTAGAGATGAACGAATTAATATTTTGACCTCTTGGAGCAAGTTTTGATTTAATGGGAACCCCGCAGCAATAAGCCCGGTTGATTTTGATGGGGTGTTCCCTTTTAGTGGTTGGATTCAGATCACTTTCGGAGGGGGCCCCACACCCTATTAGTGGAACCAGTATATTAATCCACGGTCAAGATAACTTGGCTTTTTGCAATTCACCAGGCGCTTGTTGATTCAATCAAGGTTTCCAAAGGTGGATCTTAATTTTCGGTTTCTTCTCGGTGAGTAAAACATCGTAAAACCAGTTGGATCCTGGAAATAGCAATTGTTCCACTTTCACCCCCCGCCCCTCCCGCATTCGGACATGTCGAGGTTGGCGAGTCAGCTGGCGGCGGCACAAGATGCGCTGAAACGAGCAGAGGAAGAAAATCGGGAGCTGTTGCCTGGCAGCATTTGGAAGTAGACCTCCGGTGGGTAGACCTCCAGTCTAGGTCCCCCAGTAGTGCCCTTTCTCACCCCTTTTTGGTTGGGAGGGTTCTCCTACTAAAATACACTACAGAAAAAAGTTGGTATCCATATTCTAACCTCTCTACTGGAGGTGGGAGACTGGTAGGCTCTTGTTCGAAGGAGACACTTTCACAAGGACCTATACTGCTTGGCTTTTGAGGTTCTATGTTAATCTGCAGGGTGTGTGCGTGTGTGCGCTTTGTTTTGCAAGGGGAGGTTCGCCAAATATGGACCCGAAGTGCAAGAACCAACGTTTTAGTTGACATGGTTGGCGCCATTGTTGGTTGGTATCTACATGCGGGAATGGAGTCATAAGTAGGGTTCTGAACAGTGGCGCCGAAATGGATTGATTTCACATCCATCCACTGACTCCACTATAGTGGGTAACCCGGTGTGGCATCGTCTAGGAGGCCTGCCAGGAAGCACTGGGCAAGAAAAGCTGGTTGTTCCGCTCTTCTCCCGCCTCCAAACTGGGTGTGTCTTGTCCTGAGGCTTGGTGCTCGGTATATGCGGTTGCTTTCAACCGACCGGGGACAGCCGAGGCCTTTTTTTTTTTTTTCTCGGGACCTTTGCCAGGGGTCCCTATCATTTCCCCACTTGGTTTTAGACATCTCCAATTTCGGCCCATGTCTGGTGAGTTTCCCTTGGTGGTGATGTTTTGGTGGTTAGGGAATCAGGGAATGACCCCTATAAACCATCGCTTATGATTCCTTTAAAGAATCCCTAAGTTCATTCCCCCATTACCTCCTAGATAGCCAAGTTGCCGTTTTGTTCAGTCACTGTTGCTGGTTTTCCGGGTAAAGTGCATGGAAACAGAAGCGACCGCAACTGGCGATGCCGCGGCCGCGCGGCTCGGGGGAACTTTTCTCGGCGACCGATGCGTCGCTTCGCGAGGCTGCACAAAGCCATGCAGGCCAGCGCCGATGAGACCGCCGCTCGGCTTCCGCGAGCCGTCTTTTTGGGCGGGGAGCCGCTTAAAGGATAAGCCACAGGGATCCAAAGGACAAGAAACAAGGATTTAAACAAAAAAAGACAGGGAAACAAGCAAGGATAACAACACAGGGATCACTCGGATCCTGGACTTTGGACTTTTTTGGGAAACTCGATTTGGATGGTAAACAACCATGTGTTGTTTTGTTTTTTTTGTTGCCCGTCCACTTGATCAGAAGTGAGCCAATGGTTGTGGGGAGCGTCATCTAAGAGTCCGCGGATACGGCGGGAATTGGCAGAGTCCAAAGATGTTTGTCACTGTTTGTCTCTAAACCCGATTTTGCCGGGACGGCGGTAGACGTTTTGGAGAACATGAATAGCGCCTGCAATAGGGTGGGAATCCCTTTTTCTGAACAAAACGATGGCTGAAAAGAATGGAGAATCGAGGAGGGAGGGGAGGGGGGATCCCCCCCAGGCACCACGAAGCCCTGGATTAGTGGGAGGGAAAGCGTCATTTTTCGCTTTTTGCTGGTTCTGAAGAACACCTTTCCACTTCAGGAGCTTATGGCCGAGAACCTCTCGGCCAGGGAAGTCCTGCAGAGCGAGCTGCGGCCCGGGCCCCGGGGCCTCGGGAAGTGCCGGGAAGTGCCTTTTCGAGGCCGGCCGAAACGCCGTCTCTGAAGGCCATACTCTTCCCCAGAAGTAGTTCCCCTGTTTTTTTTTGTTTTGCTTTGTTTTTTTTTGGGGGGGGGTTTCCCCTTTGTTTTCCACTCACCAGGCAAAAGATATGTTTTTGTGCTGGGGTCCTAATTCCAGCCAAGTGAAGGCCGTACACCATTGTTTGTTGGCATTTACACGGGAATCCTCATTTCAGGGTTTCTTAGGTGGTGCAGGATTGGTGCAAAATCCATTTCGCGCCACCCAAGAAATCCTTTTTGTTTTTCTGATTCGAATCCCCTGCAAATACCAACAAACAATCATTCCCGATGGTTTCCAAGTGGTGCGAAATGGATTTCATTCATCCGCAGCAGGTGGCCCCACCGGAGTTGCATCACTTCCTGAGCTTTGGGCTTCAAACTTTTCAGGGAGGAATTTCAAGGGACCTCACCTCCTGCTGGGCTTATGGACTTTTTGGGCTTGGACCATTCTGGTGAAAAAAGGAAGGTTGGACAGTTTTTTGGGCCATCCAGTGGGGAATCCAAAACATGTTCTTTTGTAGATAGGCTAGATTGAAGATGCAACAACAATTTGAAGACATTACTTTGGTATGCCAGATGCGGGCATGGTGCCATAGTGAGCCCGCTATAAATCTAGGGGTTGATTCCCCATTGTTTTTAGCCATCGTTCTTTTCAACAACCAGCCATTTCCCCAGGGATTTTGGTGGTTTGCTAGAAAGAAGGATCCCTGGAAAGAATGGGGAAGGTAGCACTCTATAGAGCCATAGGCCGCTATAAATCCTCATTACCATATGGCTCTGTTCCGTAAGTGGGCTTGCTACAAGGGCAGCTCCGAAGCTCATTGAAATTCCATGCACCCTGGGGTTCAAGCCACCAAAACAATGGTTGGGTTCATATAGCCACCATGCTTTACCCAAGGATTGTCATCATCCAAATTGGGTCCTTGTCATTCTTTCAATGGGGGGCAAGGAAACCTTGGGTGCAGGAGATGTCAACCCTAGCCTCTCTTAGCAGGGCCTTGTTTTGGCTTTCTGTGGATGTGTCCCAGGATCTTGAGGTCCCTAAAACCAGCACCCTAGTCCTTTGTAGATGTGGATGTTTCCAACAAACAAAAACACGCAACATCAAACATAGGCCCCCAACATTGGTAGAAGTGGTTTCGGTCTCACTTTGTCTAGGATCCATTTCGGATTTGGAGGCCCATTCCCTCGCATTGTTAAGAGATTGGCCTGGATCTCTACTTCTCACGGGGAAGGCGAACACATGCTTTTGTTCAAGTGGTTAGATCTGGGTTTCGCTCGTGCATCCCAGGGCCGTCCCGGCCCAAGTCGACGTCGGCCGAAGCCGGTTTCGCCGGTTTCGGCCCCAATTCTCGCTATGGCAGCCCTTTCGCGGCGGCCCATCTTGGCCCTGCTCGCGCTGAAGCTTGGCAGCCCACCGTGAGAAAGGTCCTGTACTTGGGGATCCTTTTTTTCAGCTTTGAGATTATTGCAGAATTTTGCAGACTATGTTGCCTGCTTCTAGGGGATATGAATGTCAGAAACTGCTTGGCTGTTTCCCTTCCCCTACCCATTAGGTGACTTTGACAATGAAACACAGGGGCCCAAATGAGCGCCCAATGCCGATTGCCCACTTGATCTGGTTCAATCGCGGTGAAGTAACGACAATTTATTGACCTTTAGACTAGATATAGTTAGTCCAAGGGTTTGCCTCGTTTCTCTTCTTCGTACCTCAAGTGGCAGTTTCAGTGGAATCCCTCAGCGAATTGCATTTTTCGAGCGGGACGCGTATAGGCTCCCATCAATGACTCACTTCCTGAGTTCATGGACTTTAACCTGTTTGGGGAGACCATTTTGTTGGCAAATGAAAAGTTTGGACTTTTTGGGCCATCCACTCAAGAAGTGAGCCACTCTTAGCAAAGTTGTTCCATGTTTGGTTGGAAGGGACACCTGCAGAAAGCACTTCCCATTTTGCTAACTCCATGCTTTATGCCAGATGGTATTGGCTTTCCTTGGCGTAGTGGCCTCCAACTACGGGCAGATTAAGAATAGGGATGTCCGCCATTTCTCACTCCATGAGTTCCCGGACTTGCGTCGCGTTGTGGGTGTGGGCCATATTTTAGTGGCAGACACAAAATACTGGTTACTTTTTGGGGCGCAAGCACTTGATGGGTGAGATGTTGAACCTCGAGTTTCTCAGTGTTCCCTTTTTTGCCGCTTCTTGCTGCCCCCCCCCCCAACAAAAGGATCAAGCCACAAAGGCGTCCAATGCCACAAGTCGCTGGCTTCCAATGGCTTTTGAATTACTTTTTGGTGTTAAAATAAATCTATCACCGGACATAAATGTATTTTTGTCCAAAGGTCCGGATGCCACCAAAACAATCAGGGCTTCTCGCAACGAAAGGAAACCATGGATGGTTGAACCACCATAAGCTTGCTTGGCATTCACCCGGGAATCGGATCATCGGGTTGCGAAATGGATTGCGCAACCATCCACCGCATGAGGGGGGCGGACCGATTCCACCACACACATGTAGTTTCAAGATGCCCTGGTCCAAGGGGGGATTTCCCTGAGGCTCCCCAAAAAAGCCCTCAGGAAGCCTCTTGTACCTACTCTCCTTAGGGTTTCCATAAAAAGGAAATAAGAATATACAAACAACAGAAACACAAGAACAAACAACTACAAAACCACACAACTACTTACAACATAGTCTCCTAAAGCCAAACAAATACAAAAGAAAAAACAACACGTCAAAGAGCGTCAACCGGCCGAGGATGGTGTTGGCCATGGGCCCCTGCTTCAAGATCCCCGGCGCCACGGCCCCCAAGAAGAAGCGCCCCCCGCCCCGCGACAAGCGCATGGAGCTCCAGAAGTGCCCCCAGAAGGCCGGCATCGCGCCTCGGCCAAGCGAGACGTTGGAGTGCTCTTTTGTCGCGGACAACGGGCGGGCCCTCAGTTTGTCGGGATGCGAAGTGGGGTGGGGTGGGGTGGGGTGGGGTGGGGGGGTGGGGTGGGGATGATCGCGTTCCTCAGGATGCGACCACTTTTGGTGAGATGAAGTGGGGTGGGAAGGATGTGCTTGGTTTTTGCCCTTGTTGGTTCTGTTCATTTTTGGTTGGGGTCTTCACCAAGCACTGTTTCTTTTTACAGCCCTACCTCGAGTTGGAAGGTAAGAACCAAGCAGAACACCACCTCTCGCTCCCTGAGTTCCATTCCGGACCATACTGAAGTGGTAAACAAACAGTTAGAACTTTTGGGCCCATCCACTCAGGAAGTTCATTTTGAGAAACTCATACCTAGAGATGGGGCCAAATGTTCCTGAAGCGAAGCATTCAACAGAAACACACCATATGCCTGCGCCGTTTGCGGCAGTTGCTTGGTCAGTCTTGTGTGTTGTGTGGTGTTCTTTCTGCTTTTTGCCCAGTTGTTGCTTTCGTTCAGGTAACCCTTAGTTGGTGGGTTGCAGTGGTGGTTTGGGGATTGGAACCCCTTATTTGTGAGGTTTGTTGGCTGCCCGTTTTACGACGTCTCCTTCAGGCTTTCGGCCAGTTGTTCAGGGCTGTAATTCAACTAGAAGGTTCCCAGCGAATCGTCCGGTTCCTTCACCTTTTAGAGGTTTTTAGTTGGCTTAGTCATTAGTGGGAGTTTCTATTTATTTTTGAGGACAGCCCAAATTGGATGCTGGAAATCCCTTTAGACTCAGGCCCCTTGAGTGCGATCAAACCAAGCGGCAAACGTGCGTGCTGTTTTCAGGAGAACAGAGGGGGCTGTCCTTGCTTGACATGACCGGACTTAAACTCAGCCTTTCCCCTTTGCTTTTTCTTTAACCCTAAGGGTCTGGATGGTTTTTGGGCCTAAACTGGGCGTTTTCCATTGGGCCCCTGGGGAATTGGTCGGGCTTCTCCATTCTTTTTTGGGTTCCGGGTGTGTGCATTGGAGGGGTCGGTAGACCCAGCTGCAAAAGACAGAGCCGATCCGTTTGGCCCCGCGGTGAGTCCGGCTCTTTTGGGGTCGCTCTGATACATCCACACTTGCGTTTCCCTCAGGGCTCCTGCAAATCGGCGAGTTGGGTGATTTCTTGGCTGGAAATTGAGTAGGCACCCTGTTCAAACCCACCACTTTTTGACGCAGCAGGGTCAAACCATCTACCCGCGCAAAAGCCAGCTCTAAACCTCACCTCCATCAACCCGCGCCTAGGTGACCCGAGTCTACACCGTGTCCCCTAAGAAGCCCAACTCCGCCATCCGCAAGGCAAGCACATCCTTGGAGCATCGGAAGGTTCCAAGGTTCTTTTCGAGCGAGGGAAACCAAAAGGGCGAGTGTCCTTGTTCTCAATCCCCGAGTTTTTGGATACCTGGACCCTCAAGTTTACAACTTAGAATTGTGCTACTGCCCAAAAAACATTTGGGAGAGGTCCCGGGTGTATGGGTATACTTTGAGGCTCCAGACTTTGCGAATTCCATCTTGGTAAGTGCAAAGTTTGAATTTGGTCAATCTACTCGATCAACATTATTCGATATGTTTTCGTTGGAACAAATCCAGGGGTATCCCCATTTCCAGGAAGCCCAGGGAAAGCAGCTGTTTGAAAACGGTGGTTGAAAAGAAAGGAGAATCAAGCCCTTGAACAAATGACCTTTCTCTTAAATCTAAAAAGGGTGATGGACTTTCTGTGGGGGCAGAGGGAGCACCCCGGTTAGGTTGGATCTCTGACCCATGAAGCCTTCTTCAGGGATTCGCTGTTGGAACATGTGTTGATGATCAGTTTTAGTAGGGACCTGCAACAAAGATCCGGTTGGCGATTTGTCAATAAGCCATGGCTTCCTGCTAAAATCAACCAACAGGGGGTACCCACAACGATATGGGTGTGCGTCTTTTTGGAGGGTACCCCTTGGTTGTGATTTTTCAAAGCGGTTTCAACAGAACCAAACAAACA